TCTAATTTATCCATTGGCATGTACTTCATACTCAGGATAACTGTAATGATATAGCAGGCAATTTAGTCAGTAGGAACTTTAGTTTTATGCGGAAGCATGGCTTATTTAATATATGTATTTCAGTAGGTGGTGAATCCTATCCAAGAAATAATACAGGAGAGCAAACAGAAGATAAATAGAGTTGAGAAAGCAATGCATCACAGCGGCTGATGATATTTCACCTGCTCAGCTGCACTGGTGCTGTTTCATTCAGTAGGTATATCTTTCTCAGTGAGTAATGCATTGCTTTTAACAATCGATTATTCATTCCAGAACAAAGCATTTATACTTCAGCTTGCAGAGCATTCAGAGGTTATGTTCTTTTCCACATCATTCCTAAACTCAGCACTCCAAATCGAGGTTATGTCAGTATCTCTGAATTTCAGAGGCATATTCGTCCCCATGCTGATGTGCACAAGGTTCCAAGCACTTGGATGAAAATCTCTGTGTTCTCAGTGATGCTTTGTTTTATGCTGATTGCAAACATCCGATCAATTCATGAAAGTTACCTCCTAAGGCAAAAGAAAAAATAATTAAACATGTTATGCAACTATATTTTAATATCAAACATACAAAACTGTTTCGGATTATTTGGCACTGAGTTTATATCCCTCAATCCTGAGTGCAATTTTTTTTATATGGTTGAACAACTACCTGCTGGAAGAGCAGTAAGGAAGTTTTTTTCCTATGTGGAGATTGTTCTTGCAGCCCAAACCATCAGTGTGAAATTATCTTCTCTGACATTAATCTCTATAACATCATTGCCTAGGCTAAACTAGTTGCTACTTTTCCTGTCACCAGTGCAGAGAAATAGGTGGGGTAAATCTCAGTTTGGACAACAACATATTCAATACCTGCTTTAAGAAAGGAAGGGGCTGGAGAAGATACCTGACTCTTCATATTACCTATATCTAAGTGATGAACTGAGGTTAGCATTCAACTTTCAGATGGCAGAAGTATGATTGCTGCTCTTAGACAACAATATAAGTGGAAGAACTGGTGTAATTTAATACTGCAATTTACACGTCTCTCAGAAGATATGGATTGATGAGAAGAACACAGCAGTACCTTTATAATGATGCAAGTGACCTCTTGGCAGACCTTTCATGAAGTAATGCTCCAGTTCCTCCTTGGACAGCTTCGAGTGCAGTAACTTGGCTGTCCTCCCAAAGGTTTTACTGTATGTGAAGGTGGGCTAGATAGTTCATTCATGTGCCCAAAGTCAACATACTTAAGAATTTCTAAGGATTATCAATTACAAATTACAAATAAATTACAAATAAATAATAAAATTGTTGCTTTTCAAACTTAAAGCGCCCGTCAGAATCCTTAATACAATATAAAGCATAACACTGTGTTCATAAAGTTGTTTCTGTGAAAGGATAGCCTTGCTTCTGTCACATTAACAAACGGACAAGAAAGACTGATTTACTGAAAAACAAAATAATTGTATTTCTCAAGATGCTCCAAAAGTGAACTCTTAGCAAGATGCAGATGAGATTTCTAGAAATGAGTGAATTATATTAAAAAAAAAATACCATTTACCAGCATTCTCTTTTCGTTCTTTACTTTCAAAGAGCATTAATCTTAGGTTGGGAAGATAGTGTAAGGGATTTAAACTTTGAGTTGAAAAACAACCTCTTTAATCATCTGAAAACTTGTCTACCACTGCTGCTGCTGCCAAAGCAGCAGGCTTTCCTCCTTTCCACACCACCTGCATCTTCTGGCAGATGGTCTGATAAGTGAACACTGATTTTTCCTCCATGTGTGACAAATTTCAAGGAATTTTATTTGTGAATCCAGTCATACTGGAGTGAGGTGCAATCAGTTTAAAATAATCACGCTGAGCAGAGTTTGTTCTCCCTTCTTTGTAACCTCTCTGAGGTTGAGATCACTGCAGAGCTGCCTACAGTAGCCAAAACTTCTATTCTAATAATACAACAACATCTTATTTGGTGAGATCACCCTGTGGCCTGCCTCATTCGGGGCAGCCAGCACAGCCTCTCCCTGAGCAGCAGATGTAGGGCGCTGTGGTGAGATGGTAGTACCAAAAACAAGGCCCACAGCCATGGCCCCAGCCATAAAACCTGAAGGCTCTCTTTCACTAAAGATCAACATTTTGCTTTTTATAATCGTTTCCCTCTGCAAGCTCCCACAGGTTCTGTCTGCTCCAAATGCCATGCTTAGCAAAACATCAGTGACAGTGCTGCACCTAACACAGCAAAGCTTGTCACATCATCTCATTTGGAGCACTGCATCTGCTGCACAGTGCAATCAAAGACACTGGGCTTCCCTGTTTTTATGATGCTGACTGAAATAAATGTGTTTTTCTCCCCTCCAGGAATCATATATGGCTTAAATTCTGTCTTATTTCTGGGAGTGGAGTCATGTCTGTCCTGACATGTTTTTAAGTAGCTTTTCATCCTGGTAAGCAAAGGTTCCCACTGTTCCTTTAGGGTACTACTTTAATGTTCCTTAATAATGCTGTTCATATTTGCAGACTTTGCAGATATCAGAAATTGTGGACTGGACACATCACCTTCAAAAACCTGACATTTCCATTCTTGAAAAATATTCTCATGCCAGCTCCTTCTAGCTGTGATAGTTCCACTTAATTTAACTAAATGTCCATACTACAGATCTTTCATCTTCTGTGACTGTTTACTTCTTCCCATGACTTTTTATAACCACTTTCAGAAATAGGAGACAATTCAGCCATCTCTTTTCATGTGATTCCAGCTATTAAAGCTTTGCAGGAACAGACCTTCAGAAGTTACAGGGGCTGATTGTACAGGGGCAATTATAAACAGGTTTAGCAACAACTCCATTTAGTACCCACAGTGTTGTTTATTCTGGCTGTTATAAAGATACTGATGCAAATGTTATTGTAAGAAATTACTTCTTAACAACCTGGCTCAGCAGAAAAGATCTTTCCAGATTTTTTAGGAATACTATAAATTGCTTTGTACCTATAAAAATTAGGAACCATATGTAAGACAATTCACATTTCTACAAACTGTCTGGTAGCACTGACAGATCTCCTCTACTCCAATGCAATGATTAGGATAAGGTGCTGTCAGCAGGAGCTGCAATCACTTCTTCATCTTCCCTGTATTTTACTTATAGCTTTCTCTTTCCCTCTTACTGTAAAAAAAAATTGTCTACAAAACAAAAGAAGTCTTCCAGAATGGCTTTAGTGGCAGAAGGGGCAGAATCTGAGCCTTTCTCTTTAAAAAGCAGAGCAGCCTGTTGCTAGGGGAGGCTGCTGTGCTTGGCTGCTGGCAGTCCCACAGCTGCTGTATCAGAAAACCCAGGTAGGAGACAATTATTTTCCTTCAGATATCATATCACAGTGTTCTGCGGGTTTTCATGGGTGAGACAGTTTAGGAATCCAAAACCCTCAGAGTGGTTTTCCACATATTTCTGATGTAACTCATTTTGTGAAGAGGAGTTAGAGAAACTTCTGTTTGTTTTGGAGTTTTACTGCTTTGGAAACAGCCTCTTCAGAAACAGCTAATGGAGAGCTTTAGTGTACTTGCTTTCAGTTCACTACTTCTTTTTTTTAGTGCTGCTCTAGTACTTAATTTCAAGAAATGATAAAGAATTGTTAAAGAAAGTGGCCATAAGGCCCTTCTGGTTTGTTGCCAGCATTCTCCATTTTCATGTGCCTTCAGCAGACTGTTTAAATGTGATACATAAAAGTTTGATATGAAAAAGAAGTTTATGAGCTGAGCAACAAAAACGCTGCAGCTTCTTGCAGTGTTACAATTTTTGTGTCACAAAGCTGTTATCTGATTAAATTTGCATGCAGCCAGGAAACTGCAGTTTGCAGGCACATCATGCTTAGCATGTGTGCATGGTGCAAGGTGCTGTTATAAATGGTGCTAAGGTGAATGCAAAGGTGCTTAGGGAGTGTCCTGTTTGCCTAACAAAACCACTCTTAGGGCAAGTTCACTTCCCTGTGCAACCTAAAGGTGCTGTTTAGCAACCTGGAAATCCTTTGGGGAAAGCAGGGAATATGCTTAGGTGGAAGATAACAATGTCATTTCTCCTCTGCCTGTTCTGCCTTTATACTAGGCATTTCCTAACAGAGAGTACTGCTTGGGTTGGATGCAGTCTTTGAGGAAAGTATGCATGAGCTTACATATCCAGTGCAAAGAATGGATGGCGAAATAGGATACTTTGTGCAGGCACTCTTGCTAAAGGAGGTGCAGCAGGGTGTGGAAAAACTTCCTGTGTTTTACTCCTGTGAGTTATTTCTCAGGATTTTTAAAATACAGACTAAATTATGCTGTTTGGTGGTAGATCTATATTGTTGGTGCAAGCTTTCTGTGGAGGGGAAAAAAGAAAAAACAAACAGCTGAGGTGAAGCAATAGTAGCACTCAGTGAAGGCATGCTGTGGTAGTACAAGGGGAAATGGTTTCAAACTGAAAGATGGAGATGTAGAGTGGATGTAAAGAAACATTTTCTTACAGTGTGGGTAGCGAGGCACTATAACAGCTCATCTAGAGATGTCCTGGAGACACTCAAGGTCAGGCTGGATGGGGTTCTAAGCATCTGATCCAGCTGTAGGTGTCCCTGTTCAGTGCAGGATACTTGGACTAGACAGACTTTCAAGGTCCCTTCCAGCCCAAATGCTTGTATGATATTTCACTGAGTGACAGGCACTCATTTGTATACACAATAATTAATAACTCAGTAGTGTCCGTTAGGCTCATGTAATCCACAGATCCATACAATCAGTACTACTGTACCTAATGCAGGTTTGCAGTTACGCTTTAATCCTGTGCAAACATGTCACCATTAGCTACCATAATGCTGTGAATTGCGTCAATATAAAATAGAATTAGTTAGAAGTATGTAAAGTTGGTTACTTTATCTTTCGGTCGCTAGTTGAACATATTTAGCCTCAAGTAAAAAACACTTGTCCTGCTTTCTGATCTGGAAAACTACTTTAGGAGCAACCGTGCTTGAACTGAGAACTCCATCAGTATGGCACGAGGAACAAATCCCTCCATGGACACAGGCAACTGGTGCGAGGAGATAAGCAACGAAGGAAGATGCCTTAGGGAAGTAAGTAGACAAATGCATGGCTGTGTTTTCTAACTTCACTGAGTTCCACTGTTTGGCCTACTAAAGGCACAGGGAAGCTCCTTAGCAGGGTTCTCGTTGACTAGCGACAACATCTGTGACGGAACGCAGCGCACACGGCGGCTCCTCAGCGGTCGAGAGGGAGAGTACTGCGCCCGCCGCGCACGCGTACACGGCGTTGAGCGCGACCCGCGCATGCGCGCTCGCGCTTTTTCCCCTCCCCTTTGGGGTCGGGGGTCGTACCGCCGGCGGCCGCGCCTCGTCCCGTTCCCCTACTGCCCCTCACTCATGCGTTCTCCCCTTCATTTCTGTCCCGCTCCAGCTGCCGGGACCTCCCGGGTCCCCCGAGCCGCGGGCAAAGCGAGAGAACGTCGCCGACATGGCAGCAGAGCCGGCGGCCACTGCCCCTCCGACGCTGCGCAGTGAGTGACTCCGCCGGCCGCGGGCGGGGCGGGGAGGGGCGGTCGGGGCTGCGCTGCTGGCGTTGCTTCGTGGGGGTACGTGTGCGCGGGCTTTCCCGAATTGAGCGATTCTACAGTTTAAAAACACGCTCTTTTAAAAGAGTTTTGCCTTGGGCGGAAAGGATTTTCGTGTTTGAGTGTAAAGCTCGTGTTTTGTGGCTGAAGCCCGGTGATGCCTGCGGTCGCTGACGGGCTGCTCGCCTCCGTTCTGCCGGGATAAAGGGCGTGCGGGAGGGACGCGGGCGAGGCCGTGGGAAGCGAACGTCCCGCTGCCGAATGGACGGAGCCTTTTGGGACCTCCCAGTAACGGCGGACATCTGTAGCGGAATCTCTGTGATATTCCTGCTGAACAAATACCTCGGGGAACGTTAGCGTTGTGAATCCAACTGCGGAGCTTTACGGGCTCACGTAAATAGGCTTTATAAAAGAGCTAATTAAAGAGTCAATAAACCCCAAGCCCATTTCAGGTTTTCATCATCAGTGCCAAAGTGAAACGTGTTGTCCTTGAGCTTATTTTACCAGTATGGTATTCGTTGTGGGCACCTGTGGTGTAGGAACGTGTGCTTCTCTTTGAAGATCTTCATGCCTGCATGTTCCAGGAAGGGATGAGCTGCAGGCCAACAGCTGTTGGGATCGATCCTGTGAGGAAATCAAGAGACATCCTCTAGTGATGGTGGTTTTATTTTACAGAAACACCTTTTCCCAAGAAATAACAGCACAGCAGTGCACTGAAAGGAGAATTGGCCATTAGTTCCCTTCTGAAAAGTGTTTTGTTTCCTCAGATTTTACTCAATAAAATTTCACTGTTATTTCTTCTGAAATCCCTCTTTTCTGGAATTCTGTTAGCTTTGCTGTGATGGAGTGAGAGCTTGTGGTGATCTGAATTAAAGTGGTTCACTTTATAGGAGTACAGTTCATCAGTCTGTTTTGTTTGTTTTCCAAAGACACTCATCTTAAAAAAAGAACAGCTCTCCACTTTTTGTATTGCTTCCTTGTTTGTAGTGCCTCTGTGGTGTTAAAATACACACGCACAAACCTTTCTATGAAAAAGGAACTGTATTTTAATGCAAGTGGGTGATGGTAAACGGCTGCAGAACTTTGAGTTTGTGATGTCCCTCAAGGGTTTGCTTTCTTCTATGCTCGTGTTATATGTTCACTTTCTCATTCTGGTCCCAGTATGGCAGACTTTCCTTAAAATATATAACGTATCTATTTCTTCTTTTCATAGTCACAGCAGATGTTTGTTCCTGTTGGTCTTCAGCAGTTCAGTCAGTCTTTACTCTTGATTTTTCTAATGCAACCAATGATAGAGCTTTACTTTTTTCATTTAGTGTCAACGTACAATTAATGAATGTACAGATGTTATAGTTATGAGATGTACCAGAGAGCTTGGCTACGCAGTTATTACACCAAAGCAGAAAAAATAGGACGCTTACTTATATCCTGAGCTCATTTATTAAACTCCTGCGGAGCGGATCTCCAGAAGAGATCCTTCTCCACAGGTAGCCAGCTCTTAAATGGGTGTAGGAGAGGTGCAGCCAGGCTCCACCCCTTCTGGCAGCACAGGAGAATTGCTTTCACCTGTGCTCCCAGGGCTGACTCATTGCTCGCCTCGGGTGATCAGTCAGAGGTTCAGGCCGTGATTCAGCAGTTCCCATACAGTCATGTTGTGCCATTTTAGGTGCCTGTGTACCTTTCTTAAATTGAAAAATGTGGTGATATATCAGTCCAGCAGTAAGAATAACAAATCACAGTTCCAAATTTTGTCTTTGTATCTAGGTCATATCTGTATGGAGTGAAATACAGATCCATCGTAGCATAATGGTGCTTCCAGTGTAAAACACAGTGTGAACTGCTTTGATGCAGTCCTGAAAAAGTGATGCTCTTGGAGATGTCTGTTTTCTCCTGCTTCATAAGTATATCTTAAAGCTAACAACAAATTGGCTGTAGAGCCCGTTCACACAAGCAGGATAACATTCCATGCACAGAGAAATAAAGTAAACGTTTGTGTGATCTTTCTTCCAAGGAATTGCAGAGTCTCGCAGTAATTGATGCGTTGATTTAGTTTTGCCACAACTATTAAAGGCTTAAAATGTTTTTCATTTCATACAAAACGCATCATTCCCCTGTTATCACAAGGTATTGATTCATTCATGAAGAAAATTTTCTACATGTGGAACATCAGTTCTGCAGATGCTGTACGTGATGGCTGAGTATTTCTGTGCTGTTTTTGAATGTTTACGTTGTTCACTTTAACCTGGCTTGTCTGAAAGCATTTACAGGGAATTGTCACGTATTTCAGAAAATTGAAAGCAGATTCTTATCTGTTGTTTGGCATTTTTCATTAATTGGGATGAAATTGAAATGAAACAGTTGCTCCAATGAAGTATATTATGGTTTTACACACTGGATTAGGATCACTTTAAACACAAAAAATACCATGGAGACTTGCAATGATGGATATTCTACAGCTGATTTTGGAGACTTTTTATATTGTAATTAAGTCTGTCATTTCCCTCTCTGGACGACACACGGCCTTTCTGTGTGCAGGAACTTTCAGTAGGCTTCAATTTCATAGAATCATAGAATGGCCTGTGTTGGAAAGGACCACAGTGATCATCTAGTTTCAATCCTCCTGCTATGTGCAACCACTAGACCAGGCTGCCCAGAGCCACATCTAGCCTGGCCTTGAATGCCTCCAGGTAGTAAAACAAACAGAAAGCAGAACAGAGTTCTGTGAAAGAGGATTTTTTTTCCTTATTTCCAGAAATTAAGAGTGAAGTCCATCGGTAAATGAGACTTCTGATACGCTTTGCCTGCACATCTTGTACACAGAATCTTCATTTCAGCAGATCCTAATACCTAAACAGTATGGACTTTGAATTTAACAGCTGTTACTTGCTCATCTTTTTAAATGTAGTTTTCTAGTGACTTCCAGGTCCCCCTCTGTATCCACCTCTTTGTGACAAAATATTTCCCAATGGCAGACATTTTCTACAGTGCATACTCAGAACCTGTTGTTTTTTTTCCTAAACCATCCCAGGGCTGGATAAAATGCCTGCTGAAGAACAGTTGGCTTGATAACTTCATCTTGGCTCATATAGGCCTGCTGTTATTTCTTACTGTCTTCTAAATATTTGCAAACAAGCTTGTTCAAACTGGCAGATGAGGAGAAAACTATATAACTAGAATCTGTTTCATTAATGAAGAAATTAATTAATTCTTTCAATAAGAGAAGCCTTGAACTGATCACTTTTCAAGCTGTAAGTTTTCTAAGCAATTTTCTGCTAAAATATCCTGGAGGGCTTTGTGAAGAGGATAAATGTGAGCCTCTTAATGTGGCAGTGCAGCCCAATGGAAGGGAAATGGGTGCTGCCTCCAAGTAACATGTAGAGCACAAATATAGTTCTGCTCAATACAGAAAGCTGGCAGAACTTCAGCCATTTGGTTGCACATGCAATCTCATTTATAGTGTACACTTAATCATTTCGTATGAGAGGGTGGGTTGTAGGCGTCCACTCCTTTGTGTTTCTGTCCCCAAGACCATAGCTTTTTTAAAAACACCAGGATAATTATTTATCCTTTCTATTTAGAAATTGAGGTACACAGTAGGGTATGAGGTTGCTCTACAGGAGTGGCTTGAATCTGCCACAGGAGATCATTATCTGTTTGGTGTAGAAGATGAGGGGAGGGAATCCCATCTACCCTCAAATGAAAGTGAGGTCTTGATAAGTTTGATTGGAGATGAGTTCTTATTCACTTTATATTTTGGAAAGAAAAGTCTGGACTTTCTGGGAGCGCTAATTTAAAGGCTACAACAAATAGGAATTCTGTAAGAGCACATTGTAAAAGCTAGATTTGTTGCAACGAAGGCATTTAAATTAATGGTCTGTAAGGTCTGAATTGCAAAAACAAACACAATTCTACTTCCTCATGCTTTTTGTTGGAACATGGGAGTCTGTGGGCTATAAATAAGCTTATTTTACATAATTTAAGATGTCTTTTACAAAACAACCCATTTGATCGTGTCACTGTGTGTTTTCTCTTTCAGGCTTGCCCCCTGTGCCTTCTACATCAAGAATGGGATTTTCAGAACTTTCCATCAGGGAGCGTATGAGAGAGAAACTAAAAGCAGCCAGGGTGTGTGACCTTCAAGTTCTTTGGTTGGCTTTCTTCTTCGAAGTACCAACAGCTTCAGTTTGCTTTCCTAGTGTTACATGTGGCTGATTGGATCTGCTTTTTTATTTCTAAGGCTGAATTAATATTTGATTGATTCTTTGGTGCAGTTATTTTTCCAGTGACTTTCTCATGCTGTGGTGGTGTGTTTTTTTTTTTCCTGAGGTTTATATTCCAGTTGTGTTATTCTTTGTAATAATTAAAATTATGAAATTGTTACAAGATTCTTGTATATTTGCATCAAAAACGTTGTTAACGCTCTTTTGAAATGAGTAGATTTGCTTGCAAGTTTACTCTGTGGGTTAATAAGGAGTATTAACATCTAGGTCTAAAAAGCACTTAAGCTGATTATTATAAATAAAAGATTCAGTCCCTAATGCAAGCATGCATGAGATGTTGAGTTCCTGGGAATTACTGTAGCTTTGGTGTTATTACATTTTATATTACCACTGAGCTTTTTTTTCGTTTGCTTAGTCAAAAGCAGAAGCTTCTTTATCTCAAGAAGACCCAGGTCCACGGCCAAGGCATTTAAAAAGCATCAGGGAAAGGAAAGCAGAACTCAGATTGGATAAAGGGGTAAGGGCTCAACTACAGAAGATCAGTTTCATCCATTTTATTGTGACTGAAATTATATCATTTGCTTTTGTTAAAAGGAACCTCCCCAATTACTGCTTTTAATGTACATGTTTAACCATGATCGTTTTTCTTTAATTACAGTGTAGGTATCCTGTTAAACTTGTCATTGACAGGCTCATTACTTGTGTTGTTTAAGATACCTTGAAGTATTTAAGTTACTGTTAGAGAAAGGGGCACTCTATGATAGCTTTACATGAGTTTACATAGTGGAGTTGCTAAATGTTGTAACCACTACAGGTTAGCCTTGTCATTGCACTGTATTTACATTTCCTTGTCACTATTTTCTGTATATATATTTTTTAGTGTGAGCATATTCTTTGTTAGAAAAGTAATTCTGTATTAACCAACTAACAAAGTTTATACCTGTAAAACTGGCACGGATATTCTTTGTTAGTTTTGGAGCAGCTGTCATTAAACGTAGAATATCATTAATGTGTATAAAGTAACAAAACTTATTTTAAGTTTTTTTATTAGAACCTATAAAAAGAGAGCAATAAAAGCAGAAAATTTAGTGGGATGTGTTTGTGAAACTAATGCATCAGACTGGTTTGATGGCACTGGCTGCAATTGTTAGTGAGCTCTCAAAGTGTTCATCAGAAATTTTTGTTGAAATTTTACTCTTCTTGTGCTTCATCCTTGACAGCAATTGTCCACAAGTGTAAATGCTGCCAAAAAGCAGTGGTGTGAGTGAGGTGTAACTGTGAAGTGAGAGATATTTCTCTCTGATGGGGGAGAGGTCTTGTAAAAGTCTGCTAAAGAAACGTGATCAAATTTTAGATTGCAACTCCATGCATTCCATATGAACATTCACAAGTAATGTATTTGTGCTGACTGAAAATGCAAATAAACCAAAATAATGGGTGATAGGTTTTTTTTTTTTTGCAGTCTTGAAACCTATTCACAAATTCCTTTATCAAAACAGAAAGCATGGCTGCATATTTTTTGCTGTTCATAGGACTGTGTTTAGCAAGTGTAACAAAATCCATCACATTATTTGCCATCAGCTGAGTTAGCACTGCACTGAACCTTCCCTGTGTCCTGGTTTCAACCCACACGGGGTTCCTAGTGCACCAGTGTTCCCTTGGTGCTGAGTGATGGTTGTGCCTGGCCACTCAGCAGCGCAGAACCGCTGCCATGATGGCACTTGGAGCAGGGAAAGGACAGGCTGTGTTGTGAGCTGTGCTGGGCCACACACGGGCTGTGAGTTGGGCATGCCTGGATTGAAGCTTCAGAAAGGAGGGAGAGGACAACTGTGCTATTTCCTTTCTTGAGAAGGCAGGGGAATGTCATCCACAGGGTTTCAGAGTAGCCTACAATAATTGTTTGAGAGGGGGAAAAGGGGGGAAAAAAAAGTTTGTATTCAGGCACCCAAGCAATAGAGAGTGCTTTTTTTTTTTTTTTTTTTTGGATGGCAAATATATTATTCCTTATTTCAACAGAGTCAGTTGATGTAGCTGGCCTTGGGCTCATTGGTTCTCCCTGTAGGCAGTGTTGTTGGGCAACCAGCAGCACTGCCTCAGCTTCCAGGCTTGAGCTGTCAGCCTCTCCTTTCTCCAGCCCCTGGGATGGGCAGATTTCTCGTTTCTCCCCTCAGGGGGTAACATCTAATCAAATCAGTATTCAGCTGTAGTTTGTTGGTTGCTTGCTTTTTTGATGAACCGTTGTGTTAAAACTTACGTATTTTTTTGGTTCAGTCTGGTGATAAACTTGAAGAGATGAGGGATGAATCTCTCTTGTCATCAAAAATAAAGTTTTCTGATTCTGTGAAAAAACTCAAGCAGAAGTCAGAGGTAAGTACCAATTCTTTCATTTCAATAACTGACATTAATTTTATTTAAGCATCAGGCTTTCTGATTCTGTTTGAGTAAGCAGGCAGAATTTGGTCTTGAGCAATGAAAAGGAGTTTGTGTAATTTAAAAATTCTCCAACAGTGTATGCGTAGAATTGGAGTATGAGATGGAAACCAAACATAAGAATGACATGGGGTTATTTAATTTTATAAAATGAAATATATCCATCTGTACACAATTTGTGGAGCTTGGAGGAAAATGTTCCTTTTAAAATCCTATGAACTGAAACCAACTCTTAGTTAAAGGAACACAAATGTTTATAATAAAAAATGCTCATGTTCATTCTTCTATGGGAGCTTTAATCCTAACACTCACTGGTGTCTTAGTCTTGCACAGGCAAAATACAATTATAAATTTATCTTTAAGTGATTCGTCTGCATTTTTATTATCCACCATTATATAATGGTATCTGCATTGTAGCCAGAATTTAAAACGTTCTTCTCATTGATATCTAAAAATATTTAAATCATTTAGAGCACTTGTGTGGGGTCTGTTCCAGAGCAAATAGCTATCCAGTAACAAGTGTTTATACTTGCCATTACTGCTAATATGAATGGAAAGATAGTTCTGCTTATCTTAAGTTTCTTTAAAAACATTTTTATATTACTTTTTTTTTTCTTTTCACAGGCCCAGAGTGATTATCCTTCTGCTGAAGAAGCATATAATTTCTTTACCTTCAATTTTGATCCTGAACCAGAGGGTATAAAGGCGGGAGCACGGAAAAGGAGTGAATTAAATGAAGAAGAGGCAGAAGAATATGTAGAAACCCATGAGGAAGAACAAGAGGAGGATGAAACGGTGTGAGCTATAGAATAAATGTTCATAATTTTAATCAGACTTGAATTAATTTTAATTATCTGATACAAAATGGCAGCTTTTGTTTCCTTAAAAGTTCTGAAAGTGTACTTTGTAAAATTCTCTACTTTAAGAAATAGGTGAGCTAATGGTGATGTTTGCACCTGAATATAGGATGAAGATGCACGCCTAGTTAAAGATGCTGATCTGTTCATGATGGGACAGGCAGATGAAGATTTTCTAATAATGAAGCCTGCTGAGTGTGAAAGATACTCTGAACAACTGCAAAAAGAGAAAGAATTTCTGTTCATTCCCAGCATGCAGACAGGTATGAAGCTGATTCAGTTTTCCTTCTGGACTTTGCGTAGCATTGCACTCTTTGATCTACTGAAAAATTGTGTATCTGACTGGCAGCAGGGAGAGACTTAAGGGCTGTGTTTGACACCGATCATCCAGGTAAGTCTGTGTCTGAAAAGATCTGACCAAATGTGCTAACAGTGATGTGCAAACCTTCACAAATCGCCATCATGTGCTGTGCTGGCACGTTGGTTGCTCTGGAGTATAATGTAGTGCCTTCTGTGGTAAATAGAAGGTGGCTGGCCCCTTTTTCGCTGGGCTTTAGCTGTTATTTAGCATATACAGCAGGTTACAGTGTAGGGTACTAAAAGTGATTCATGTGCTGCATAATATGTGGTATTTACTTGAACACATCAGTAATTTCTTTCCATATGACAAGCTTGCCAAGAGTCGTTTAATGATTCTGTGATTCTGTGTATGTAGCATTAGGATTTCTGTGATGTAAGGGTATTACTTGCTATTTAATATTTGAAGTGAAAGAAACAGAAATGACTTTTGTAATGATAGGTAACTAAAATGATACCAGGACAGCTTGGGACGAAGTACCACAATTTTGACATTTGGTTCCTCTCCTTTTTCATGTCTTGCATCTGAGTTCTGACTGCTTCCAGTGTGTTCTGCTGTGTTTTGCTGTAGGGGATCGCTGTATCTACTGTTCTATTGGTATAATTACTCACTTGGATGCAGGCAGAGACTGATCTTTAAAAAAGTACTAAGCCCACACATACACACCAGTGAAGTTATGCTGCAAATGGTGTTTAAAGAATCTTGCCTGCTATTACTAGTTATCGTGAGTTTTTATGCATGTTCTGGGTTTTGTACAAGAGTAGCCTGAACCAAACTAGCAATAGTAGTTAAAGCTTTGCTTTATCTGAGATTGGCTTCAAAATGTTTGTGTAATCAATTGTTACTGCTGGAAAGGTTTAACAGGGTTAGAAAAGAAACTATTAAAATGAAACTCCACTGATTTATTGAAAGAATATTTAAAGCAAATGTTTAATGATCTGTTTGGAGGATCTGTGATACTTCTATGATAGAATTAACCTGTGGATCTGTCCTGATAAAGAAAATGACCTATTTCTGTTATATACTTTTTAAAATTTTTCTTAGGAATGAATATACTGCTGGCAGCACGCTCAATATGGAATACCATTTATTTAAAGAATGCACAGCATAGGCTGTTACAGAATAAGCAAACTAGAATGGCAGTTTTAAGATCTTTCACGTGATTTATGTATAATTTCTTGTTAGTGCCTACTTCTCAGAAGATGCCTGAAAACATGCAGCCTAGGTACCTTGAGGATGAGGGTCTTTATGCAGAAGAAAGGCCCTTTGTATCACCATCTAATCAAAATATTTTGGAAAACAGAATTCTGAGACAGGAGCAAGTAAGTCATCATTGTATTCTTAGCTGTCTTCAGACTTCTTTGTTATCAGTATTTGATTTTGCTACTCTATGGGCCATCATGGTAATCATGGTAATTTGGGGCTTTCATCTTCAAAATGTATGGCTATATTGGACTTCAAGAAATGGGGATTTTTGTTGGAGTGTATTTTAGTGTTTCCCAATGTATAGGGTGTCAGACTGGGTCTTAAAAAACTGATGTCATCTTGGCTTCACTCAGAGCTTGTTGAGGGACAGATCACTTTGCTTGTATGTGCCACAGTTTATTTTCCTCTAAAATGGGAGTAAATATAATTTGATGTTTTAATAAGAAGGGAGCTAGTGGTGTGTATAAAGACAAAATCAGGACTGGGCACTGTAGTGATGTAGTGTGATCATAACAGCAAGTGTGGAATATCATCTGTGTTCAGTAAAGGTAACATGGGTGATGTATCTGTAGAAATTTATTGATCAGATTGTAAGTGTAATTAGATGTTATGTAAATTATCTGGTTGTGTTGGAGATTTATAGAGTAGCTGATAAGATAGCCTGAGAAGGTGCTTTGGTAGGTTTTATGCTGTACTAAGTGGTGTGTAGGTTAGTATGCATTCAAACTAGAGCATAGCAGTTCCTCTCTATATTTTCTTATAGTTCATAGAATTATGAAGTTGGAAGGCACCCAGAAGGTTCACTGAGTCACTTCTTCAATTGTCAGAAGCGATCGTGGCACCAAGCCTTCATGAAGTTCTTTGACTTTCTCCTGTGCTAGGAAAGGCTCTTTCATGAAGCAGTTCAGGTCTAGAATTGATGACTGTTTGTTTTCAACCACTTTTTTTTCTGGATTGCTTTACTGTGTGATTACATCAGTGTATTTGGCTCTAGCTAGAGTCAGCTTAAAACAGGTGTGCATAAGAGGGCCTAGCATCTTTCAGCAACTGCACTGGTTTAAACTTTACTTGGATTCTGTTCATGAGAGCAAAGAGATGAATTAGGTCAGTGGTTCATCTGTGAAGCATGGATAGCAATCATCACCTCATCTGCTTTTATAGATGCTGCTCCTTAATTAATTTGGGTTTCAGGTTCTAGACTAGAGAAGTTGAGAGATGTTTGGAGAGAGGATCGCTCTGAGCTGTTGTTTAGTTTTATGATTCTTTGCCTTATAATTTTTATATTCCAATTTAAAGCTGTGGGTGGCAGTCGAAACAACAATTCTTTGAATTCTAGCCATTTAAGATAATACAATGTTTAAATATGAAGGCCAGTTTAAATATCAGGCCAGTCAGCCTCACCTCTGTCCCTGGAAAGGTGATGGAACAGCTTGTATTGGATGTCATCTCCAGACAACTGGAAGAAGAGGAGGTTATCAGGAGTAGTCAGCACGGGTTCACAAGGGGGAGGTCGTGCTTGACCAACCTGGTAGCCTTCTATGATGTTGTCTCTGGCTGGGTGGGTAGGGGGAGAGCAGTGGATGTAGTCTACCTTGATTTCAGCAAGGCATTTGATACTGTCCCCCATGACATCCTTATAACAAAGCTGAGGAAATGTGGGATAGATGAGTGGACAGTGAGGTGTGTTGAGAACTGGCTGACTGGCAGAGCACAGAGGGTCGTTGTTGGTGGTGCAGAGTCTGGTTGGAGGCCTGTAACCAGCGGTGCTCCTCAGGGGCCAGTGCTGGGTCCGGTCTTGTTCAACATCTTCATCAATGACCTTGATGAGGGGATAATGGCCACCCTCAGCAAGTTTGCTGATGATACGAAGTTGGGAGGATTGGCTGACACGCCTGAAGGCTGTGTTGCCATTCAGCAAGACCTGGACAGGCTGGAGAGCTGGGCAGAAAAAAACCGGATGAGGTTTAACAAAAGCAAGTATAGAGTCTTGCATCTGGGGAGGAATAATTCCATGCACCAGTACAGGTTGGGGGATAAGCTGCTGGAGGGGAGCTCTGTGGAAAGGGACCTGGGTGTCCTGGTGGATGACAGGTTGGCCATGAGCCAGCAGTGTGCCCTTGTGGCCAAAAAGGCCAACGGCTTACTGGGGTGCATTAAAAAGAGCGTGGCCAGCAGGTCGAAGGAGGTGATCCTCCCCCTCTACTCTGCCCTGGTAAGACCTCACCTGGAGTACTGCGTCCAGTTCTGGGCTCCCCAGTACAAAAAAGACAGGGATCTCTTGGAAAGAGTCCAGCGGAGGGCCACGAAGATGGTGAAGGGCCTGGAGCATCTCTCCTACGAGGAAAGGCTGAGTGAACTGGGTCTGTTCAGCCTTGAGAAAAGGAGACTGAGAGGGGACCTGATCCAGGTCTACAAATATCTAAGGTGTGGGGGGCAGAATGGCAAGGACAGACTGTTTTCAGTGGAGAGTGGAGACAGGACAAGGGGAAACGGCCGGAAACTGCAGCATAGGAAGTTCTGCACAAATGTGCGCAGGAACTTCTTTACAGTGAGGGTGACGGAGCACTGGAACAGGCTGCCCAGGGAGGAGGTGGAGTCTCCTTCTCTGGAGATGTTCAAGACCTGCCTGGATGCCTACCTGTGCGACCTGCTGTAGGGAACCTGCTTTGGCAGGGGGGTTGGACTCAATGATCTCTGGAGGTCCCTTCCAACCCCTACAATTCTGTGATTCTGTGAAGTGTTGTTGATTTTTTTTTTTTCTTTTCTGAGTCAGTTAACGTTCAACATTGAAAGAAAAAAGTAAATATATTTGAGCAAGCTCTTGGTTCTGTGACTCTGTGGTTCTAAAGCTTGTCTTTAGTCAGAAATAGTTCATAGTCACCTTTTCTTTCATAGTTGTTTTTTACAAGTCATTTAGATATGGAAGAAACAATATATTTTATCTTTGTTTGCAGGGGAAAGAGTGGTTTGGTGATGATGGCAGAATCTTAGCATTGCCTAATCCAATTAGACAGTCTTCCACTAGGCCTCCAGTATTCTCATTGGAAGAAGGCATTGTACCAGAACTTGAAACAATCTATAGAAAGGTAGGTATTTTTAATTTATGTTGTTATTGGGGGCCTCAACTATTTTACAAGTTTTTTATTATTCCAAGTTTATTATTATTTTATTATTATTTTATTATTATTTTATTATTCCAAGTTTAAGTCTTGGAACTTGTAAATCCATTTATTTATTTATTTATTTCCTTTCAGGCAATAAAAACAACAGCTGCCAATCAGTATCTCGTTGGACCTGGAGATTTTCAGGGGCCCTTTCAACTGGATATTGATATTTCTGGACTAATATTCACACATCATCCCTGTTTTAGCCGTGAACATGTGTTAGCAGCTAAGCTGGCTCAGTTATATGATCAGTATTTAGCCAGAAAACAGAAGAATCTTACCGAACTTCTCACAGACAAGGTATTTTTGGGAGACCTTGTAGTGGCCTTCTAGTACTTGAAGGGAGTGTATAAACAGGAGGGGGAATGACTGTTTAAGTGGGTGGGTGGTGATAGGACAAGGGGGAATGGTTTTAAACTGAGATGGGGGGAAGTTTAGGTTAGATACTAGGACCTTTTGGTCCTCATTTTGGAATCAGTTATTCTTTGTTTCAAAATCTGTCTTGAAATCTTCTTTTTCTTCAAGTGCCAATGGGATTCGTTTGTAGTATGTATGCCAATGTATGTTTTCAGTGATATGCTCACTTGTCCTTCCAACCCCTGTAATTCTGTTGAGCATATCTTCTAATGGTAATTGAAGGTGGGGCCCCTTGTAATCAAAATATGGTTTCAGAAGTATATTTGAACCCAAGCTGTTGTTCCCAGGCCTGTCTCGTCTTCAAACTTTCCGGTCTTTCAGTTGTAAAATGCAGTATGTTACACTTAAATTTTTTTGTGCTGTTGCCCAGCTTCTGTAACTCACTCATCATATCCCCTCATTCCTCTTGTTTCTTCACTTCCTGGACTTACCTTTAGTGGTACATTTTCATCCCAGTGAGCTCTTGTAGAAGCTTTTGTTTTGTTGTGGGTGTTTGTTGGTTTTTTCTGTGCTCACCTTTTTATTTTTTCTTCTTCTCTTTGCTGAGCTCTCAGAATCTGTCTTGCCCCTTTGTCTAGGTCTGATGCAGTGGTACGAGTCTCTAGGGACCCAAATTAGAATTTCACCTTAAAAAATCAGATGTAGCAAAACCATGATTTTCTAATTGAAGAAGCAGGACATTCAGAGCTGTATTGTACTGTATGCCTCATAAATGTCATGCTCTCTGTTAATTCTTTTTTTTTTTTTTTTTTTTCATTTAAGCTGCGTGCTTTGAGGAATGCTGTGCAGCGTAGTGCTGACAGTGCTGGTGCTTCTGGTCCTACAGCACAACAGAGCATACCTGAATACAAAATTGAAATCAGGTAGGTATGGATTTGTTAACTCAGTGCTTTCAAAAACTGTATTCCTTTTCTGTTCGATGCTGGATCAGAATATAATTTATGCTGAACTTCTACATTCTTGGAAATGGCTGTAGAATAATTTTGAAGGCATAAGAAATTTTACCAATAAGTTGAGTAAAAAAACATGAAGAAAATACAGCATGGGTAGGAATCTTATATTCAAAAGTAGTCTAATTTGATTACCTCTTATTGGTTACTTAGAAATTACTGATGTTCTTTGCACAATTAAAGTTTGGTTAAAGTAAGGTCAGCTGATGCATGGAAGCTGACCCAGTACTGCAAGTGACGAGCAGATGTTTGAACAGACAAAAAAGCTTGGGTTTTTTCCATCTCCTTTGTTCTCATTACACAAGGCTCTTGGCATCAAAACTGTTCTCTTGATTCACTGTGCATTTTTAGGTGTGTTGGTCATCTTTAGTTTTTTTTGCCAGTGGGTTAATATAAAATGGTGGAGTTTTCTTTTACAATATTACAGTTATTGTTCTTGGACAGTAACTGGATAGCAAAAGTATCTTCCAGTTTTTGGCTTGGTAGTGAAAGTTAGTATTTATTTTGGCAGCTAGTGAGCCGTAAGTATAAGCAGCATGATAAAAACTAAATTATTTTGGAAATCTAAGCTGAGCAGCCTTTTTTTTACTAGTACGTAGGTCGCTCTGGAAGTAATGCTTCCTATTTATTTCCTTGGAACCTAAAACATACGAAGAACACAATAGCACTCTGAGAAAGAAAATTCTCTGCTACAAAATGCTATTTTTCAACATAGTCAATTTGTATGGATGAGCTGATCAAGGTGCTCTTCATCTTGTGAAGAGGTGTGACTGCTGTGCATGGCTGTCTGGAATGTGGCTTGTCTTTCATGTTGCTGTCACCACTGCTGAAACATACCTACTGCCACACTGTGCTCACATCCACTGTTTGGTCTCCATAAACGTTCAGCAAGTGTCAGTGAGTGTCAACAGGTTTGTTTGTCCATGGAGGAATTGAGTTCCAAGAGCCTTTGCTTCATCTGCACTTTCATGTCAGGGGCCCTTTTGTCAAACTGCCCCTCTGCTGCCATCTGTCACACAGCAACAAAATGGAGTATTGGTGGGAAGGGTCAACTGCTACCACCCCACATCCACCTCTGACATCATGGGCCAGCACAGTAGAATAGGGGGTGTTACTTCTGGAATCTGAAAGTTTATCAAAAGTGTGAAACTGGGCAATAACAATTTAAAAAACAAACAAACAAAAAAAACACCAAGTCCAAAATGTTATAGTGGATCACATAAGTAAAGTTTATAATACAATTTAAATTAAAATTCACATTCTTTTTTGAATCACAGTTCTGCTATGGGTCGTGGAACATTCACCATCTTATACTTACACATCCACACTACTCTTAGTTTGGGAGTTGCTTCTTCATATTCTTATCCTTTATGTATGCTGACTTGCCATGTATTGTTATCTGTGCAGGACATACTGGAGTATATTTATACTATATTGTTCATACTGAAGGACAAAGTTTCCCATTTAAAAAAAAAAATTTAATTAGTATTTCAACATGTCTGATAGGAGCAATAGGTGTGTAGTTGCCATGCAATACCTTAGAGACAGGAGGTCTCATCAGGGAAAGCAGTTTAGAAATAAGAGGGCTCACTATGAAAGGGTGGCTCTTGTATTCTGGGCACCAACCCTGAGCCTTGTTTGGTTGTTAATTCCAATTAGAGAATTCCTTCTGGATATCTTAAGATTTTCTAGCTCTTGTGTGCTTGCTTTAGCTCTCGATTTAGCTTAATGTCACAGTATTATGAATCAGGAGAAACTTGACTGAAATCAATGAGATCAGTGTTGTGAAAGTAGTGAGAGATGAGCTTGGCTGGGGTTACTCTTGGGCTTTCATATCTATAATTCCTCTTGGCAACAGCTCTGTTGGAAGATGTTACACATGAGGCTCAGGTAGGCTCAGCATTGTTACTGTCCTGCTTCTTCACCTAACTGGCAGCATGTATGTAGGTAAAAACATCTGATCTGCTTTGTCTTAGCTTTAGGATTTCATTTCCCTGAAGATCAGTGTGGCGTACTCTTGAAAAACTGCAGATGTGAAGAGAGTGTAGCACGGAAAATAATCTTTATAATACTTCCTCCACCCACTAATAACGTAATTGCTGTGTTCTCTTCACTGTCTAAACATCAGAGCTGTAGTTTTCCGTTGATTTGAGCAAGGAGTGTCATCTAAGTGCAGAAAAGCTTTGCAAATGAGCAATTTCAGCCCTTCTATTTCCATTTGATGAAGAGGAAATCATTATATGCTTCATATTGAAGGTTTCCTGCTCTTCTGGCTGATGTATTTCAGAAGAGGGGATTCTCTACTGAAAGGTCCTGCTTTCCACGTAGAATAAATTACATAGGCATAATTACTGACCGCTGTGTTCCTGCTGTCTTTAAGCGTCTTCTTGTCTTCTGGCTTCATTTTGTAGAACAGAAAAGAAAGGGATTTCAAGCTACGTGGATAAGTAGTAACTGCTAGCTAATGAAATTAAGGAGTTGCTCATCTTACTTTCCAAAAAGTCTGTTTATTTCAACTTCTGTTTACTGTTTTTGCTACCTCTGCTTGTGCTTTTAAATAATGTGTTCTGTGTTACTTCTCTGAGCTGTAACTCAGACTCCCTTTCTTCCATGCTCTCCAAGTATTACAAGTGATAATGTTGTAGCTGACATCTTATTTTCTTTCTTTTACCCCACATGACTGGTACTGGGCATGTTTAGCTATCAGAATAGTACTGGAAAAAGTCTGTTGTTGTTCTTGACATCAGACTGTGTTCATCATTAAAGGTGCTAATGAATATCTGTTCTGCAAACGTTTTGGAGGGTGGAAATGTTGAAATACCAAGTCTGAGGCAAAAGAGCCCTCTTAATTTTTGTTTGTGTGAAGAGTCTTGTAGAGCTACTTGGGTTACTTCATACATTACCACATTACTTCATATTTATGAGTGTTTTTTAGTGGAACTAGAAGCAAGTTAAGTATAAAACATATTTTGTAATGTATGATTCTAATACGTATTACTTCATAGCAGCAGCATTGGTTTCCTGGGCTGTTGTTTACAGGCACTGACTTTAAGATGCTTTTAATGATATACAGCTGTAATAAGCATTTCAGAAGACTTAGAAGCCTCTAGAGAATGAACTGTAATTGAAATCAGCTTGTCCAAAGTTCATGAGACTAGAGCCTAGAGTATTGATAGTGAAGGAAACCAAATCCTGTCATCTTTAAGTTCATCTGGTTTTCATGTGCCTTGGATTTAAACTACTGCAGCCATCAATCACATTGAAAACCACATCAATTGGCTTTTGGTATCTAAGCTTTTCACTGTATTGTTCCACTGAGTTATATAAGTCTGATTTTGTACATATGTTTGTATATTTCTAGGCAAACCAGAAGACTTCGTGATGCTGAACAAGAAAAAGATAGAATGTTGCTTAAAAGTATTGTAAAAGTTTGGAAAGAAGTGAAATCCCTCCGTGAATTTCAGAAGTTCACTAACACACCCATGAAGCTTTGTTTGAGGAAGTATGTTTTGATAACATTCTTTGTATTTCATTTGCCAGCAGTGAGCTTTCAGTGAGATGAGCTGTTTTGGGATGTGAAGGATGCAAAAGTAAGGATTTGAGTAGTCTGTCACTGGTTGGGCTTGCCAGCCTTGGAGTAGGGAGGAATGTAATGACTGTAACAAGTGAAACTTCTAAGGTCTAACAAGTAAAGAAAAAGTCATTAAATTCATTTTGGATGGTAGCTGTCTGCTGTCAACTCTTGTAGACTGTGCTAGTACTTGTTAACATGCCGTGCTTTTGATTTAATAGAATTAATTCATGGAGAAGTGGACTTATGCTATGTATGTGATAATCTTTTATGCAGTGTTTACATTAATTTATACATCATGTTTATGCAACTGCTTTGAAGGGAAGAAGTTGATCACAGATCTGATGAGAAAGCATATGAAGCAGAAATTCAGGCTGAGATAAGTGAATTACAGGAAGAATACATGGAAGAATATGAAAAGAAAATGGAGGAGTATAAAACTGATCTACAAGAGTGGAAGTCCTGGAAGAAGGCACAGGTTTGTTTAAATCATTGTTGACATCATTGCTTCACAAAAATTAGATTATTACTAAGTATATTCAAAGCTTATCCTTGTAATACAGAGAAAAGTCAGAGAATAGGCATGACTACATTTTCTGATGTATTTGGATATATCCTGTCTATGTAGAACATGCTAGTGAATTGCATGGTGTGGTTGGTTTAGATTGGCTGAACATCCAGGTAATCTGTATCTGCATTGTATTCTGCTCATTTGCTTTTGTATCTGGTGTAGAGGGAGGGCCTCATTTTGCATTAAGGTGCTGCTAAGCTAAGAACTAACTACTGCAGTGCATTCACTTTGTCCATCTGTGCCGACAATGCATCGCAAAGAACTGTAGCTGCTATTTGAGTAACCTTTCTTCACTCCCAGGAGAGCACACATGGTAACTTTGAAAGAGATATCTGGTGCTAACCAAAGCATACAAGGAACAGTTGCTGTGTATGTTAAATATTAAGCAAGTGTTTTGTTTGAAGCACATCATGTTCTTGAAGCCTATCAGTGGAATGCATTGCTGAATTCCAAATCTGAAGCAGTACTACAGAATAAAAGAAGTCTTCTTTCTGTGCAGTGATCTATAAAATTACACCATTATTTCCTGTTCAGCACATGCTGTGAATCAAGAAAGCGAGAGAAAAAAAGCTATACTGATCAAAGTAGTACAGGTGGAACATTATTATTTTTATATGCAGAAGTCCAAAAAGAAAAAGAAGAGGAAAGACCTTCAAGAAGAAGAATCAATAGAAGATTATGATCTTGGTGAAGAACTTATGAAACCCATCCCCCCTAAAATGGTCGATAGCCTGGAAATAGAGCAGCAGGTTAGAGAAAAAGCTAACAACTTCAGAAGGAAACCTGGAGAGCCTGCTTTAATTCCTGAACTAGTCTTGTCAGGAAGCGTAACTCCAAGTGAGCAGTGTCCTCGGTAAGATAAATGTTGTAATACACTTCTTACAGTGATCACCCACTGTTATTTATTTTATTCTTACCTCTGCAACTTCTAAAATGTGTGCTTGCCGTTCTGTTTAGCTTAATGATTAAAACTTCTGCTTCTGAAGCTGATATAACTTAATTGTTTTTCAACTCAGATGTAAACTTATACATACTGGCTTGGAGAATGCGTAACTACACATTCACTTTGAACCTTCTGATGTTTCTTGAGCACCTTTGTAGGACAGTGGTGTATGTAAAGAAATCGGCTGTGGTTTTGTGGTGGTGCTTATAGATGAGAGTGTGGGTTGCTTAGGACACTACCAGTCTTCCTGGCTACTCCTTTATAGCAGGTGCTGCAGCCAACAGAGAAGAGAAAGATGTCGTGTAGTTACCTAAAGATTTCACTGTGGATAAAATAAATACTCTTTTGTATTACTCTCTGCATTTACACAGGCAGTACATCTGACAAATTGAAGTCATTTAAAAGCTGTTTCTTTTCATCATAATTTAGTAAATAGCCTCATCAGGGAGTAGGGCTTGGCTGTTCTGTTCCTAGTGACTGAAACTTTAAGAATCTTAATGCACTGTGATAGCACATCCTGTATCCTGGTGGAAGGAAGCAAGGAGACTGTTTCCTTAAATATCTCCTATTATATGGAGGTAGAGGTTGTGGATCTAATATTCTACCTGTTTGTTTTTAAATAAGCTTTAAATAATTAATGAGAACATAAAGTGCTGAATTATAGATCTTAACTCAGTGATGTTTTTAGAAGAATTCCATTTTCATGCAGTTGACTTCCATTTCCCATTGAGGCATCAGATTCTCATTAAAAATAAAAAGTATAGATGTTATTAAAGCTGTTCTCACCACTCGTTTGACACATTTACAGGGCAGAGGTTTTACGACGGGAAGATGTAAACAAACGCTCGGCATTTATAAAAGTCTTTTTCAACTCCAAAGAAGTGTCAAGGACTGTTACTCGACCACTAAGTTCAGATTTCAGAGTTCACTTTGGACAGATTTTCAATTTACAAATATTCAACTGGCCAGAGAGTTTGAAGCTACAGGTGGGTAATGATTTTATAATAGTGTTTTTTGAAAAGATAATATGAAGTGCAGTTCCTTCTGTAATGCTTGTCTTTTGCTCTAGATTATCCATCTTTTGTAGCCTTTCTTTGTTTTTCTAATAGCAGAATTTTCAGCTTTGCTGCCACATTTCTGATACTTGCACTAAGATTTTATTATTATTATTATTTATTATTATTATTATTATTATTATTGTTAAATTTGTTTTAAACTTTTGATCTGGCTGTTGTGACCAACAAAGATTTGTTCTCAAAGTAATACGTGTAGTACATATCTGTTACTGTGTATACACACGCCTATAACGTGACTGTGAGCTGCATTGGGGGAAGCTAGTAATTGGGGCATGATTAAATGTGTTAGCAAAGCAGCTGTTTTAGAAAACCTGATCTGCATTGCAGGTAAACTTTCCAAAATATTCTTCTAAGTACACTCTTATCCACATCATAAAAACACCATAACATTTATTGGGAAAGAAAAAAAAAGAACAGCTCAGTATGAGTAACTTCATTATTACTCTCTTGACCAAATTTAATGCAGTGAAGTCCAAAGAAAAAAAAATAAAATAACCCAAACAAACAACCATGAAAGCACAACCAAAAAAATTCTACCTCTTATAAGAAGTATGAATTAATGAATTAGTCTGTTGATTGCTTTCTTTTTTTGTCAGGTACCTTCTTACTGGCAGCTTGGAGGAGGGCGTATAGCCCTCACCTGTCAACTTGTGTAACACACAGCACAAGAGGCATGAGAAATACCATCTGCTTTGATTTGAAAACGTTTAAACAGGGACTAAGAAATTGCTCTTGAGCCCTCCGTATCTGAAACTGGCCAGGAAAGAGCAAGGCAGCCTGCTGTTCTGCCAGAACTGAACTGTGTGCCTTGCTTGGTCTGTCATGAGACAGAATCCATGATGCCAGAATCCCTTATACCAAGCAGATGCGTGTTGTACAGTGATGCTCTTTAAAGCCCATAGTTTGCCATACATCAGCCAGCAGTGTGCGCTTGCAGCCCAGAAAGCCAACTGTGTTCTAGGCTTCATTAAAAAAGGGGTGGCCAGCAGGGAGAGGGAGGTGATTGTGAGGCCCCATCTAGAGTACTGCGTCCAGGCCTGCGGCCCCCAGTACAGGAAGGATGTGGAACTCTTGAAGTGGGTCCAGAGGAGGGCCACTAAGATGATCAGAGGGCTGGAGCACCTCTCCTATGAGGAAAGGTTGAGGGAACTGAGCTTGTTTAGCTTAGAGAAGAGAAGGCTATGGGGAGACCTCATTGTGGCCTTCCAGTACTTGAAGGCAGCCTGTAAACAGCAGGGGGAACGGCTGTTTTCAAGGGTGAATAGTGATAGGACAAGGGGGAATGGTTTTAAACTGAGACAGGGGAGGTTTAGGTTCTAGATATTAGGTTTAGGTTTTTTAGTTATTAGGAGGAAGTTTTTCACACAGAGGGTGGTGAGGCACTGGAACAGGTTGCCCAAGGAGGTTGTGGATGCCCCATCCCTGCAGGCATTCAAGGCCAGGCTGGATGTGGCTCTGGGAAGCCTGGTCTGGTGGTTGGTGACCCTGCACGTAGCAGGGGGGTTGAAACTGGATGATCATTGTGGTCCTTTTCAACCCAGACCATTCTGTGATTCCCATGCGTGTATGTTAAAAAGGTGAGGGGGATATAGTACTAAGAATTCAGTCTGAGTTAGCTGTTGGTAATTGTAATGTCTACTAATTATATATTTTAAAAAGCGAACAAATTTAGTTGCTTCAAATAAATTATTTAATGCTTAAGTTATTACAAAGCCTTTTGTCCAAAGCTGTAAAGCTCAAACTTGTATTTGGTCATGATTATATTAATTAACAATGTTTTTGCTTCCTTCAGCTTTCAACTTCTTACCAAAACATTGTGAAGAATTTATTCATTTATTTATTTGTCTGTCACCATGGATTTTTCTAGATCTATGAAACAACGGGGCTGAGCAGTACCACCTTGCTGGCCGAAGTTTTCATACCTGTACCTGAGACAACAGTTCTGACAGGCAGTGCTCCCATGGAGGAGATAGAGTTCAGCAGCAATCAGCGTGTGGTGCTGGACCATGAAGGAGTTGGGAGTGGTAGGGAATATCACTTTTCTTCAATTCAGTACTTCAGTGCTGCTCATTTTGCTGAAACCATGTAGAAGTAGCATGCTGGCATAATTTTCAGAGTAAATTCAATTAACATCAATGTGTGTGTTTATTACTTGGCTTATAGTATTAGAGAAGCTCTACTAACTTCAGAAGTTGTGTGGTTTTTTTTAATTGTTTATTTAGTACTTAAGTAGTCAGGCCTCTGACAGTGCAGAGCAAGCATATGGTATTAATCAGCATAGCTGCAGCAATTTTGACACTTCAAAGCACTGAAGAACTGACTGTATAAGTGTATGTGCAGATGAAGTCTGTGGTATAATGACATCCTGTAAAACATTTGGCCATTGGGATTTCAAAATGGAAAATTAATATGAGGGAGAGGTAGGAAAAAGGAGAACAAGAACAGCGTAACATGCAGAACTTTTAGTTTATGTAACGTTTGAACTGCATTGTGGGGTAACTGACACATAAAGGTACTATCCATGAAATACACATAGAAATAGATCAGAACAACAACTAAAAATTCGTCAAGAAAAGCATTGTGAAAGGAAAATTTTTACAACACATTTGTGTGTAAATGTCATCAACTGTGATGGCTGCATACACAGTTGTGTACCACAGGCCTCTAGGACTGACGTTTCAGATATGCGTAATTCTTTTGACTCTGAATTTCTGTCTCATTAATAAAACAAATACATACACTGAATCTGAAAATTACCAGAAATGTGAAATAGCATGCATCTGTGAAGGAAAAGAAAAAAAGCTTTGCCTTACCCTTCAAGACCCAGTGTTTCTTTGTGGTGTAATGGAAAGCCTTTCTGGAATCTTTTTCCTTTGTAGACTGGAGTTCATCTCTACAGCCTGCAGCGGAGTTGCGTTGTTTCATGTAACCTGTGCATTTATACAGAAGGAGTAATTTCATTACTTATTTTTGGGAAGCATTTTTAAAACTATCTAGACACTGTTTGAATGGATAAATATGCTGCGGATATACTATAAACATACATAAGTATATTATTTGATTTTCCCTCAATAGATGTATCCTTTTCATTTGAAGCTGATGGTAGCAACCAAATGACTTTAATGACTTCTGGGAAAGTATCTACTAGTGTTTCTTGGGCAGTTGGAGAAAAAGGAATCCCCCTAATTCCTCCAGTATCTCAGCAAAACACAGGAATTCCAAGGTAATGCGATAAGGATTCTCAGTGATGCCTGGAAAACTGTTACAACCACTATTTCATGGAATAGAGGGTTTTCATAGTCAAGAATAGTCATAGCTTTTTTCCTTCAGTTTAAGTACTTTATTCTGCACCTGCGGATGTTTTATGTTACACATTTTGGTAAAACAAATGACATTTCTAACTAAAGTCCTTTACTTTGTTACTTATAGGCAATGTTAGACAAGCTGATTAAATTCATTTTTATGGTACTCAAAGACATAGCTGTAGTCCAGATTTTACTTTATATTGGTAAGGAACTTTCCTGTAATCGTTTTTTGCAAAGAATGGAAGCTCCACCTTTTTCTTCTACAAAGTGCATTTGGGGTGGGTTCTGGGACACGTGTTATAAATGCTGTTTTTCCAACTAATGATAAAAGCTGTAGTATGGAAACAATAGAAGTTAATAAATTAGTTTTAAGTAAGAAAGAAGTTAGGAAGTTGTCACATCTGTATATGATATTTTTTCAATGAATTTTGTCTCGTCAGAAGTGTGTTGAGCTGCAGAAATCAGTATGTTAACATATTACTCCACTCAAAACATTCTGATTTGCCCTGTGGCTTCATGTTGGACGTGGTAGTTTACTTGTCCATTTTACTTACATTTTACTGTTGCTATTTTTTTTTTGTATAATTCTGATAAAATCATAAAGTATGCTTTGTAATGAGCTCAGGTAACTTCACTGTGAGGCATTAAGAATTTTATCATACTTACTAAACTGACAAAGTAATTTTTCCAGCTGATTGGATTTTACCAGATTTTTTTGTTTAGAAGCTAGACCATGGCACTTGCATCACTTTTATACTATTTTTGACTCAAGCTGCAGCCATTTGAATAATTGGCTGCTCAGCAGATAAATAAGTTGCTGACTTCAATGAGGCTAGAATAGATAAGGTAAGAACTATAAAGATGCATTTCCAAAGGCTGACTTCAAACTTGACAGACTAAAATTACAGTAGTTTGTCGCTGTAGCAAATGGGGAAAATTTAGAGGGATGTTCAGTGTAAAACACTCTTATTTGGATCACCTTTTAGAAATGAACACAGTCTGTGACTTTCCACTGTCTGCTGTGAAAGTCTGATGCAAGATTTTCCTGCCTCAAGTTAGTCTTTGCCTGCTGGCTTTTCAGCTCCATTGTGATTCAGTGTATATTTGTTCAAGATGCTCTAATGATAAAATCTTAACGTTGCTGCTTTAGCTGCTACTGCAGTAACTGCTAGGTATGTTGGCTGGTTCTGACCAAGCTTGAGAATGATCTGTAAGTTATTAAAGCATTCTTAAAAATAGAATACTTAGATAAGTAGAAAGCAAGGACCCCTAACAAGAACAAGGCCACCATCCACATTCTGTGGTATACAGCTAATGAGCATGTAGATATGCAAGTCTTTGTACAGATGCCTTCCTGACTACCTCCCACACTTGACTACTGTGAATACAAGTAGGTGAGTACAAGCGAGAGGCCAAGAACAAGCCAGCACAGTGCACTCAGTGCCAGGCAGCACATGGCCCTACAGGATCTGAACGTGGCAGGCAGAGCAGGGTGGCAGCAGTTCCAGACCTGGCAGGAAGGTGAATTAGGTTCAGGTTCTGTCTAGAAATGCTGTTCAGGAGACAGACCAAAGATGGGATTTTAGACACTGAGTAGACAGGGGCTATAAATCTGGGAAGTTCCCTTAACTATGGGTTGTCACAGTATGTTGGGTGCACTCGCAGAAATCATGAAAGTATTACTTTCTAGTAATTAGAAACATGCGATAGTGTAGATGTGTTTGAATTACTGAGTACCTTCAGTCATGGAGAGTGTGCAGAAACATTTTGTATTTGTGGAAATGTAGTCAAATTCAGTGTTTCAAATGAGGCTGTAACTGAGTAAAAGTTTTCTGCCGCGAGAAAGCTTGTATCAAAGTTCATTTTAGCAGTTCCTGCATCTTTCTGCCTCACTTTCCTTAGTAGTTCACCATTTCCTCAGCTGCATAGCTTTACTTTTGCATCTGCATGTCTTGGAAGCAGAACCACAAAACCTATGCAGGTTTTAAAGATGTTTCTTCTGTATCACAGCTGTTTGAAGAGTTGATTTTGTGCGGTTGTGTTTTTTTTTCTGGTGTTTTGTTAATTTTTGTTTGCTTTGTTTACAATTAATTTAACTTCAGTCAATTGTTCTACACTGTGCTGGCAGAAGGAATTACTTCATTTCAGCTGAAGTGAAAAATGGCATAGCACCATAAATGAGCAGGTAGGGGAGTGGATAGCAAGATTTCCTTGAGTGAGAGGTTTATAGTTTAAGAATTGTGTAACGGAATTTATTTTCAGGTTATAGGGGTTTCTTACTAGTTTTGTTTTTGTTTTTCCAAGATTGCTTTAAATATATTTTTTCTTATTAAATGTTTTAGGTGGAATCATGTAATAGTAGTTCTGTCTGTTGTCTTTTAGTGCTTTAAAAAATCTTGATGCTATTGCATCCATTGGCACGTCGGGCTTAACTGACATGAAGAAATTGGCTAAGTGGGCAGCAGAAACAAAACTTGATCCAAATGACCCAAACAACGCAGCTCTGATGCAGATGATTATGGTAAGTGGCTTTTTCAGAGCTGTAGGGTAATAGAGCTGTGAAACACCAGTTCTAGTTTAAGTTTCTGATGAATGTACTTGTGTCAATGTTAAGAAGCATATTAAAAATATGATTCATTAATCCATTAGTTCAGTAGATTTCTAGTGGTGAAAAATAGATATTAGAGAATATGCAAGCTGATTAATTACATGCCTAAATGTAAATATAATATAAAATTTTCATTTTTTTTCTTTAAGGTGCAGGAGTATTTCTTCTGCACTTGTATGTATTAAATAGGAATTTGCTCATCAGTCAAGGCTGCACAAATTTTAGTTTATTGCAGAAGCTGAGACTTTGCTAAACATCACATTGGAGAGGTGTTTATATAGTTGAAGTTGTGTAAAAGAATCACCTTTTCAGTACAGTTTCCTGGATCACTCTGCTGTGTTAGAATTTTGTTACCCTTCAGTGTTTTATGTGAGGGGAGATAGCATTTTACAGCATTCCAAAGGGTATTCTGTGTCCTCATTCTTTGCCCTACAAAAGCCTGCTTTAAAACATTGCACGTTTTGTTCTCAATTTGATCCATCTTAACTGCTTCTGCATAGAACAAGAACATTCTTGCAATATGCATGTGAGACTCTGCAAGAGTTATTTAGCAGACTTCTTTTCCTTTGTACAAAAGGAGTAATAACTTTTTGCCTGATTTAGATCGCTAGTAGTGGAGAGGCCAATATTCCTGATTTCTTCAGACTGGAACAGTTGCAGCAAGAATTTAACTTTGTTTCTGATGAAGAATTTAATAGATCAAAGAGATTCCGACTCTTGCAGCTCAGGAATGAGGAGGTGGCAGAGTTCCGAAACTATAAGCAAGTCCCTTTACATGAACGAGAAATCAGTGAGAAACTTTTCCAGGTAAGTTGTTATCTGAGACTGTATCAAGTATGTCAACCTCTAGTAAAACATCCTCTTTCTTTTCTAGTTCTGATGTTAATATTTGACTTGCAAGTCAGTTAGGCCCTTAAAGAATGTACAGCTCTGCTGACATTTAAAAAATGGGAATTATATTCTGTCAGTTTTTTTCCGGTGTTATTTTAATCTAATTAAGAAAGCTTCCTTCAAAGGAAATGGTTGCACAGCTATATTGTGGAAGCAAGAGAATATAACAAAGCAACTACTGAAAAAGAAAATAGTTTCTTTTAAAGGTGATTTCAAATACAGAATGGTAGTACAGAGGTTGTTCAGGTTTATGCTTATTAGTTCTTTACTATTCTTCACTTCACGGGGCTCAAGCAGTGATGCTGAGTATTAAAACCTTTTTACGTTTTACTCCAGTTTATGTTGCAATTACTTCTCTTTGGGTACGTTTTTTCCAGTTAACAGACAGGCAAGGACAGGGTGGGTTAATTATCTTACTCACATGCCTTGTATACATTTGTATTGGGTTTGTACGTCAGATATATTTAATCTCAGCTCCGCTATTACTGTTAAGTCACACATTCTGTTTTTTTTTTAGCAATCTGTATGACCACATAGCATTTAATGTGTTCATTGCCTCCTCAGCATCAGCATCATCTTGAATTTTGGCAGCTGTTCCTTTGTACCTTGTATGAATTTCTTTGAACAATTCCTTTCTTCCATTTCTTTTGGATTATATCTTTTTAAAATGTGCTTTAGTAATTCAGTCAGATCTGGCTTCTTTTCTACAAACATTTCTCATTTTCAAATTTTATATTAGTTTTTTTACCTTCTATTTAAGAACACAGTACACCTTTGATAAAGACTTCCAGTTGATTTTTATTGACTTTGTTCATTTCAATTTAAGAAATTCTTTCTTTGTTGTTTTGTTTTTTTTTTCCCATTAAGAGTGAGTGAATTAAACCCATGGTCACCTGTGCCAAGTTCACTTTATATGACGTGATCTTCAAAACTGAGTTTTAAAGCGGTGTTTTTCCTAGTTTTTTTACTAGCTGTTTGGCAAAGAAATATAAAAACTTGTAGAATTTTGGAAATACTGTGGAAAGCATTGTCTGGTGTTCATCATCCTGTTTTCCACATGATGGGGCTGTTGCCATGACTAGGTGAGGTCAGCTATGTGTTTGGCTAGCCAAGTCTTGAAAAGTAGGAGATTCCCTAGCCCGTGTGTGTCCACCTGTTCTGGTGCTGCAGTAGCCTTCTAGTGATTTTTTGTTTGTTTTTTTTCTCCATCTCCAGCCTTTGATGTTGTATATGCTGGCTGTATTCCCTCGTTGTGTTACTTGGTTCTACAGAAAAGAATTTGATCCTGTCTTCTTTGCAGTTGTCCCTGCCCTAGCTGTGGGCAGATGCTGGATTGCCCGTTAGTCTCTTCCTCATGAGGCAAGTCAAACCTGCTGAGTTTGTCTAATCCTAAGCAAACAAGTCTAAGAGGGGAGCCATTACTGCTTCCTTCAGGAACCTAGTGATAGGGTGAAAAGAAAACAGAGCCAGTCCTGAAAGTAAATTACACTCAGTAGCTTCTGTATGACAGCTGGGATCTGTGGCTCTAAAGCCAAACCAATCTGTGACAGCTGTGAAGCTACCAATCCTGGGACACTCTTAGACTTCAAGACTCTGTATTTTACCTGGAAACTGAGTGCTTCTAGCTTCTTTTTAATTCATGAGATGTTCTCCTACATTTGCAAATAAAAGTTGCTTGTCAGTATTGCTTTCATTGTAGTTTTGAGGTGCAGCACGCAGTAACCATAACCCTGGATCAGTGTTCATCTCAGCCCATCAGTTGGGCTCTTCGATCAAACCTCAGGCAAATCAAAATCCTCACTTTCTCACTGTCGACAACTGAAGATTTTATTATGCTGTTGAATCTCTTTATTTTTTGAGTGCAGATTGAAAATAGCTCAGTAATTGTTTCATAGCAAAAAATTTCCCAGAGTTCAAATGAAAGGTCACTTTCCAGGAATCCCATGTCTCTTCTATTTGTAAAGAATTCATCCAACTGCAGCTGCAGTCGCAGGAACCATTTCTGGTTGAAATGGAATTTCAGCTTACAAAAGCAGGTGGAAGTTCAGGTTTAGAACAAGGGAGGGAAATCTTCAAGTTATTCCAAGTGACTTAAAGCACATGAATCTTAAGGCAGTTCTTTTCTCGATGCATAGAAGTTGTGCAGTGCTGCTACTGTATACATTAGCATTAAAAATAGCCTTAAATGTCTGCCATCTGTTTTTGTTTACTTTGATCCACACGTGAATATTAATGAAATATTTACCTTTTTTTGTTGTGTTGAATAAAGCATTGGATATTTATCAAATCACAAACTGTAGTAAATATTTCAGGAATATGAGAAAAGACTACACGAGAGGGATGTGGTTGACAATAAGCATTACCTGGATGCACGCAGAGCTGTTGTTGCCAGCTATCTGCAAAAGGTAAGCTGCAAAAATTAGAAATCCATGGTATTTCTCTAAATTATGTGTTGCTGCTGTATTTGGATGCTGAATGTTCAGGAATGCTGAAAACAGACAGCGGCAGTGTAGAAAGGGAGATAAAGTCCCAGCCAGCCAGCAAAACTAATATTAAGGTTGATTTGGTGTTGGACAAAAAAAAATTCTTATTAGCAATAGTAGTTTCTAAAAGAATCTCATCATAAAAGACAATGGAGAGTGTTTAAATCATCCAGGTCAGTGCTAAAACCCAGATGCAGTATGGTAATATCAAAAATAATTTTTAAATGAGCTGTCACATCTGTGTCAGCCCCATGTGCTTTGCGTGATATTTCCTTGTGTACTGAAGCATGGTTATGCAGTGCACCGGATGGCAGTACAGCAGGAGTTAAATAGCATGTAGTAATACCTCTGTTTGTCACTTAGATAAATGCAAGTGGTCTTTTTAAAATTAGCACTTGGATGTCGTATGCTTATATATGCTGTCAGATATGCTAGAAAATGAGATTGCTGGTGTTGGGTCTGAAATTCGTGTCAGTCTGAAATGCAGTCTTACTGCCACCTCAGCACAATGAATGGTTTTGCAACTTAAATGAGAACTTCTAAAGAAAGGAAAGGAGATGTGTATTGGAAGTTTTTGTTACTGTCCTTCTGCAGCTAGTCTTATAATAGAACAGTATGTAAAGACTTGACTAGCCTTAGTAGAAGGAAATAAAAGGCCAAAGGCAGTACTCCTTCACCCTGCTTCTACATAGTTGTTAAGAGAGGAGGGAATGCTTTCACCTCTGCTTCACTCTGTTAGCTCAACACAGAAATGAAAGGAGCTAAGAATTTTTGAGCATCTATTTGAAACCATAGTGTTAGTAACACAGGCCTCCCTGGTTGTCCCACAGTCCGAAGTGTTGCCTTTAATCTCTATAATAAATACTGTAGATTTCTTTGCAGTCTTTTCTGTAACTTCATGTAGGTGCCCAAAGGAGATGTCTGTCAGTGACGTTTATTGTTGAGATTGTTTCTGATGAACTGTAATCAGATACAAATTGATTTTCTGCTTTTCTGATGTATGCTTTCATATGTTTACGTGTGGCTAGCTGGTGTGTTTCCACAGAAACGTATTTGTAAAATAAGCTCATATTATGTAATGAGAGAAGAAATTGTTTCTGGTAGAAACATTCCTTGACATGACTCTTTCAACAAAGAGGAAAAAAATAAAGAATATGTTTCTGGAATTTGGCTGTAGTAGACAAAATGCAAGTGTTTGCAGTGATTTGGGATTAGAGTTTCATTTTGTCTCTTCTTCCTCCATTCTTTCCCACTCACAGGTTCGAGAATCAGTAATTAACCGTTTCCTCATAGCAAAGCACCATTTCCTTCTCTCTGACCTGGTCAATGAAGAGGAGATTCCTACTCTGGGGTAAAGGAACTGCTTTCACTGATTCTAAGTCAGTTACTGTAAAGTTGTCTCTGATATTTCTGTGCAGAGTCTACTGACAGGACCAACTGATGAGATACTGTATGTTTAGTGTGGTTGTTCTGTCACTGCAGCAGTGATTTTTGTTTACTTTCTGAAAGTTAATGGCATATAGAAATACGTGAGAAACGTTGCTGCTTTGTGCAATGATTCCTCTAAGATTTGTTTGAATGCACATGCGCTGGCTCTGAATTTTTGTTACAAATCTCATTGTTTTGAAATTTGAGTAATCACCACAATGACAATTCTTAATTAGTGTTACTGACTTAATCTGCATAAGTCATGAATAGCAGACACTTGTCTTTCTTATAGAAGTTGCTCGTGTTCCCTCTTACGCACGTCGCACTTGTTGATTCAGAACATGTTAGCTGTACTTCAGTATAAAACTAAACAGTCCCACCTGCTGGAGATGCAGAGACTTGCTCTGTGAAACAGGGCTCATGCAATTTTTTTCCTTCGTGTTTTCACATTACTGAATGGAAAAACTTGAGTGAGACTGTAGTCAGCTTTTGAAGTCGCTTCAGGTCAAATGCTTGACATGTTTTCTTATTATGAATACAGATTCGTATTGGATACTGCTTGTTAATCCATGCAGTTAGTGAGTTTAAAATAAACCATTATTTGTTTAAAGTGTCTGCTTAGTGAGATTGCAGTAACTCATGGTTTTATCTTAGAAGTAATTAATGTGGCTGTTAATTGTGTGTAAGGGGATGGTGCTGTTGGCGTATCAGCTTTTAAAGTAGATTTTAGAATGTCTTCTGTCATTTAGGTATTTTTGCAGTTAATATCAGTGACGTGTAAAAACATGTATCTGCTTTTTATTCCTTTCCTATTTGTTTTTTTTTCCCCTTTGGTTCTGCTTTGCCTTGGGTTATAAGTTCTGAGGGTCCAGGGTATGTTGTGGCATATTCATTCTGCTTTCTTTCTGTAGCCTATACATAGCTGTGTAATTAGATTTCTTATGTATTTCATGCAGTGGTTGTTATCATCTACTAGATACCTCGTTTATAGCTGTAGTTTAGATCTGTCCTGAATTGTCTTATTTATATCTTACCTAGTTTTGGAAATTTAAAAAAAATGTGAAAAAAAAGAGCTTTTAAATTCTTTTTTTTTTTTAAGGAAATAGTGAAATATAAGAGAACTGGATTGCATAGTACTAAATTATCTAAAGATTTAGACATTTATTAGAGTTTTGTATGACACTAACAGCGTGTGTTTCCTTTTTCTGTTAGTGCATAGTTTGCATGTGTGTCATGGAAACAAGAAAATTCTGGATTCTGTGCAAAAATGACTAAATGTCTGTTTTATGATTGCTAGTATTTTGGGACTTGGCCTCTTTAAACTGGCAGAGCCAAAACGACCATTAAAGCCAAGAAGAAAGGAAAGGAAGAAGGTCACAGCACAGAACTTATCAGATGGAGACATTAAGCTGTTAGTGAACATCATCAGAGCTTATGATATTCCAGTGAGAAAACCAGCCACGAGGTATGCTGCAGTGCTTGTTTTCAGTGCAGGTTTGTGTTGTGGTTTCTACTGTTTAAAGGCAGCTGAAGTTCCAGTAGCTAGTTTAGAAATTCAGCCGTGTCTGTTGTTTTGATCCTTATGATAAAATACAGAGGTTTCTCTTGTTAGATAAGCTGCTGTTTTCTAAGTTTTTAGAAGAGTATGATCATTTATCAACACCTTCAGAATTCAAGAAATGGTTTTACAACTGCATACTTGCTTAAGGAAAACACAGTCTGGAGGGTAACTTCCATCTTTGACAACACTGTATCATGAATAGTACTGGATTAGGTGTGTCTTAAACACTGAAGGAAATCTTAATTCATAAAATCTTAACATATACATATATATGTTTATATATGTTATATATATATTTATGTTATATATATTTATTTGTATTTATTATATATTATTATATTTATTTGTATATATATTTTTATATATGTACATTTAAAACTCCATGTTTTCATTTTGTATTTAGTTCCTGATTTTACAAGTGTGGTGATCTTCTCAAGAACTTCATGAACTTGGTTGTTTGAGGGATCAAATGGATCTAGGTTTGGCTCTGGCTAATTTTCAGATGATCACAGCACTTGGCATATTAAAGCAACATCTCTAAAGCCTTATGCTGTGTCAGGTAGAGATGTTTGAGTTCTGACAGTCTGGTTTAGTTCCAGAAGCAGTTTATTAGCATTGTGTTTCTTCATCCCAAAGTGAATATATCTTATGTTTAATTGGGAAATGTCTTCATCCTGAGTAACTATTTAGCTTTTAGCTAACTAATTTAGCACTTTTGCTTTTTTTAATCTGTTTAAGGTCATAGAGGTTCTGTTGAATTTCTGTAAATAAGGTCAAACTGAGAAATAAGGGATTCATATTAGAAATACATTGACAGGAGGGAAAAGACAAAAACTTTGGTTTGGTATTACAAAATGACTTAAAAACCCCTTGGGTTCTTTTTTTTTATTATTATCAAATACCTTATTTTGAGCTGCTTTTTAATGAATAGTTATTGTTTTACAATCTCTATTGTGGTGTTATTACCAAAAAAAAGTTAAGATAAAAATAAGCATGTTAACATTTATTTTATTTCACTGCAGGGCCACCATCTGTGTGGTATTCATATGGGTTTCATTTTGTTGTAGAGACTTGCCACAAGTACTCTGAAGTCTATCCAGTTTATGAATTTTTCAGGGATTCATCTCCTTAAACTGAAAAATCTGTAGCTCAGGGTGATTGTCCAGGGGAAGCAAAAAAAAAAATGGAGAGAGGGATTATAAACATGTCAGAAGAGAGCCCTGAGGCACTGAGTACTTTTACAACAATGCTTACAAGAGCCATATGCTCTCTACCCTCTCTGGCAGTTTTTTTTCTTGTTACTTGATTGAATAATTACCTTTCCTAGGTTCAAGTCAAAATATGAAGATACAAGAAGTATTTCCAGAACTCTGTCTGGTTAATACATGATGTGAAGATTTCCTGTTTGGTAATAAGTTCTGTGCTTTTTCACACTGCTGTTGTCTGTTGCCTTTCACAGCAAACTTCAACAACCATCCAAATCTTCCAGATCCTTTAATGAGATGTTTGCAGCCTCTTCATCTGCTCAGAGCCTAGCCAACAATGCAGATTGGGCATTTGACCAGGTATATTCTAAAACTCATTAAATCTGTAACGATCGTTTGTTTACATGAAGTTGTGAGCATTTCTCTTTTTTTACAGGCAGTAACATCATCAGAAAGGTGTCTGTTAGTGAGGTAGGCTTGCCCACTCCTTGATCTCCAGACAGATAGTTAACTGCATTAGGGTTCAGAGAAGGATGATGAGGTTGTCATAAATGTGAAATGGCTGTTGTGCAGTGAAAAATGGTAGGGCTTTTCAGCTGGAATAACAGTGATTTCTAATAGGGGAGAAGGAGGACTGACATTGAGATGCAGAAAATAATGGGTAGATTTGGATGGGGATTAACTATTCACTGATTCTTTATTAGAAGACTGAGGGATCATTAAATTAAGCTGGGAGTAGCTGGGTTCAAATTGTAACTCTTCATGCAGCAGTTGTGATGTGCACAAAGAATTTGCAGATAGATACTGTGGCTAAAAGAGGTTTGTTTCCATTGATGTGGACATTGAACAAGTATTTGGAAGAATGATGTACTGGAAGGTGCCATAAAGGAAAACTGTTACAGGCTCAGGAAAGTCCCTTTATCTTAAGGCATTTGTAGTCATGAAGAGTAGTGAGAGAGCCTGATGCTTCTGTGTTTTGACTCTGCTGTATGTTTATACTTGTCTGAACTTTGGCCTTGCTGCATGCTTTGTGTAAACCAGCATGGCTGTTAGTAGGACTGATATTAAAAACACAATTGCTTGCTGTTGATAACTAAATTCAGCATATTTCTGAATGAAGATGGAAGCTTGTTGTGGTGGGGTTTTTGTTTTTCTTAGAATGTTCTTCAAAATTAGATCTTAAAATCTGGCATAAGTTCTGTCGTATGCATTTGAATGCTAATTAAATGTTCCATTAATGCATTTTTAATCAAATTAGATGTTTGTTGTGTCTGGTAGAAGTTGCTTATCTGCAATATGAGGATACAGGGACACTTTTCTCCACTGGTTACTGAATCACGTTTGTTTCAGTCTCTTTCTATGATTAGTTAACCAGTAGTTTCCGTGGAGCTGGGGAAAAAATTGTTTTCCTTGTGTACATAAAATATGAAATATTCTGAGTACACATCACCTGCTTGAAATGCTAACATACAGAATTATTTTAAAAGCTTCATAAATGCTTAGAAGCCTGTAAAGTGCAGCATTTGAGGTATGGCGAAGTGTTACGTCTGGGCTGGACCAGCGTGACCACCACAAAGTATGGGTTTCTTTTTCTGAACGCATAAAAGCATGTAAGTGAGCACGTTGTGATGAAAGCTTCCTTTGTTTGGATCTCTGTGCAGGTTTTAGTCCGTCCATTTGTAGAAGTTTCTTTTCAGAGAACAGTCTGTCGGACAACAACAGCAGACGGCCCAAACCCCAACTGGAATGAGGAGCTTGAGTTTCCATTTAGGTACAGCAAAATGAAATCCAATGTTTCTCTGAGGAGTAACAGTTCAGTCTGAACACATGGCTTTATCAGGGTTCTCCTGCTTTGTTCAAACCCCCTCTTTTTGTTTAACTTTTTCAGAGCTCCTAATGGAGACTACAGCACCCATAGTTTGCAGTCAGTGAAGGATGAGGTGTTCATTAATATTTTTGATGAAGTACTACATGATGTTACAGAGGTGAGTTCATAATTGAAGGACAATGTACTTGTCCTGAATATTGCAAACTTCCTGAACTTGTCAGAATAAGACTTTTCAGTGTAGCAGCTCTCGCCCTCCTGTGCCTCCTTTTTCTCTTCATTATTCATTATTGTGTTATATCTAGTCAGTATTGCAATGTTGTTCAAGGGAGCAGTGTTTGCAGAGCTAACTTTTGTCTGTACAAATTAATTTTGTACGTTATAATCTGCTGCTGAGGGTCAGCATCTGTATGTTATCTGTCTTAAGACTTAGGAGGTGGTAAAATTGAGAGTTAGTGTATGAATAGTAGTCTTAATTTTGTTCTTAAATTTGATGCAGATTCTTCTGGTTGCTTGGGTGTTTTTTTATTGTTTTGTTTTTACTACATGCCAGATGACTTACCAAGGGCCTGCATTTTTTTAACCTCTACCATTTTTTGTTCTGCCTTACTCTTTATTTTTCTAGCTGTTAGTGAAAAACTGTCTCTGTGTTGAAGCAGTATTGAAACACCTCTGCCTGCTGAAGTCAGTGAAAGCTTTCCCCAGTCATTTCAGCATGCATAAAAATAGCTGCACTTAACATTCTTGAGGACATAATGCAGGAGTAAATATGACATGCATCTTACCAAGAACTGAATTCTGCCTTCAAAACTGAAATGGTATTTGATGAAGTAGGAGGGGAAAAAGTATAACCTAGAAATTCAGATGCCACTCAAGTATTCAGGGAATTCTTCTGTTTTTGAACTTACACGCTGATCGTAACTGGATCTGGGAATCACAGAGAGCCAGTACACATGAAAACATTGTTTTAATTCCACAGTATTTAGTTAATTTTCATTCAGTTTTGAATACAGTTTTTCAAGGTCTTTTAAAGGCTTTTTAAATTGCAGTGAAATATGTCATGAGAAGATCAATTTGCACAGTGTGAATTGATTCTTGAGGAATCTTTGTTAAATTTTTAAGCTTTCCATCCGAAGTTACAGAAGACTTGAAGCCTGAAGTGCAGTTGCATTGTATCACTGACCATGACTACTTTGTGCAGCACCTGACATGCTTGAAGAGCACGCACAATAGTTATCTCCATAGTACTAACTGAACTTGTACTGCTAGTGAGTTAAATTGTTAAAAGCAATTTAGGATTTTTTTCATGCCCTGATGAGGCTGTTGATGGAATGAAAGGAAATGAAGATGTCTTACAAATTATGTTGCCCAACTTTTTTATAGGATGATCGTGACAGAGGAAGTGGTATCCACACTCGTGTCGAGAGGCACTGGCTGGGGTGTGTTAAGATTCCCTTTACTACAATATATTTTCAGGCTAGGGTAAGTGTCAGTAACTTGAAATGTTTCTCTTAAGAACAGTGGAAAGAGGCTGGCAATGCAGAGTCAGATTTAATTATGTTCTCTGTACTTGTCAGTATATTTTGATGGAATTGATTGGCAGTATCTTTGAAACTGCTGTATTTTGTCAAATTTGGTGAATGTTTGCCAATGACTTCAACACTGGGAAGGAGCAAAGACAGACAAACATATTTCTGTGCTGACAGTGCTGCCTGGTTTTCTTCAGTAATAATGTTAAAAATGGAAATTCTTTAGATGATTCTGACAGTAGCTGTTGAGATCTCTGGTACTGCATTGCCTTGCTAAATGTTTAAATAAAACTTGACCTGACTCCTTTCTGATATGACCTTTCTGAAAGAGCTTACCTTGTTTGTGGCTGCAGAAGGAGGTGCAGGACAGGATCTGCCAGAGCCCTCTTCTTAGGGGAACTGGCTGTGAATGGTCCCAGTTCCAACTGCATCCAAGAAGCATCAGCATTTTCTGCCTGGAAGGTGCCTACCTATGAGATACTAGAGTATAATGCCCAGCATCACTCAAGCCCAGGCAAAAGCCTATGGTGTGCTGCTGCCTTCAGAAGGATAGCTGCAAATCTGTGTTTTTCCATTCTGTCAGTTTTCCAAGTAAACACTGCCGTGTTACAACACTGCTGCTTGGACTCACCAGCAGACTGAAAATACGTAGTAAAAAGCACTAGAAAGAAAAAGATTGCATGCCTATCAGTGTTCACTGAGAACAGTGACATATGTGTGTGGTCATAACTTACTGTCTTCTCCCTTCCCACTGAGCAGCGCTTTGAAAGACTTGGTAGTTTCGCTTTTTGGTCTTAAGAGAAATGTTTTGGGTTTGTTTGTCTGTTTGCTATAGGTGGTTAATGTGTGTGTGCTACTGCTTGTGTGCATGTGTTGTAGATTGATGGTACGTTCAAGGTGAATATTCCTCCGGTACTCCTTGGCTACAGCAAAGAGAAGAACCTGGGCATCGAGAGAGGGTATGATTCCGTGCGACATCTGAGTGAGGGCTCCTACATAACACTGTTCATTACCATTGAACCACAGCTGGTTCCTGGAGAGTCAGTCAGAGAAAAGGTAACTAATCCATAATTAATCATATCCTTGCCATTTGTTTGCAGTGGTGCAGTTTTTGAAATGTATATAAGTAGTTAGGCTTTGTACACTGCAGTGTTCTGTGTCAAGTTTTTTAGCTTGGTTCAATTTAACCGTGTTCACCAGTACACCAGATGGACACTGAAAGCATGCGAAACAAGCAAACTTGCATTCACTGTCTCTGAGCATGTAATTTTCTCATTTACTTCTGTTAGCAACAAAATATTTATATCCGTATTTGTGAACCATGGGCAAAAAGGAGGTGGCAAGTTTATTTACAGTATTTCTTGCTTCTGTGTTTATAGTACTAAACAATAAATGCTGTTTTTGAATGTTTCATACTTGTTTCCAGATCTTGAAAGAATTACTTCTAAACATCAAATGAGTGTTCTTGCCATGTTATACAGCATTCTGCAATTAACTGGAGATTCAGTCAGTAAGGATGTATGTTTTTCTATCGCAAACAGGAGTAGTTGTTATGTTTTTCAAATTTTTTTGCATTGTAGAACTGTGCTGGTCATTTACTAGAGACATTCAACCTTCATTTTATTTCTTTACCTATTTTTCCTTTCTGCTGTCCTTCCTGAATCTCTGTAGATGAATGAAATGCTTAAGAAGGTATTAATAGAGTAAATCAACTGAGAGATTGTTGTTACTCCCTGCTGAAGATTAAGCTTGGTGTTGCAGCACTCCTTTTGCAGTTTGTGTTTCTTTACTGTGACATTCTTTGTCAGTGATATTTGCAGTGAATTACTACAATGGAATTCTGAAAGTTCTCAAAGCTTTATGTTTCAGCTGTTAGCTATGGTTAAGAATCACCTTTGTGTCTCTCCTTTTCTGACATGGAGATCTGCCTGCAGGGTACTGCTGTTCTGCCTCTTTTTACTTTGGAGGGCAGCAAATGCTGAAACTGATTTTGAACTAAAACACTTTCTGGAAAGGCTCAGCTAGAAGCTGTAAAAACTGAGAGCAGTCTGAATAGTAAGGGTACATCTAAATGAAAGTGTCCTGGCCCTTCTCTGCAAATATTTTGACACTGCTGGACTGTCCCAGCAATATTCATGTGAAGATGACCGGGCTTTTGTGCATCATCTCAGTTGTGGTTGTAGTGGAGTGTTAGGATGTGATGTTAGTCACCCCTGCAGTGTGCTTGGCCTAACTTTCACTGCCTTTGTCGAGCTTTAATCAAGCCACCTTTAGACACAGATCACTGTGTGTTCATAAGTAACATAAGTAATTGCTTGGGTTTTTTCCATTGCCTGGAGCTTTCTTGTATGTCTGTGAGCCTATATATGTAATGCAGGGGAAGCTGAAAAGACCGTTGGGAAAGGATTTCACACTCCTTTTATGCTACTGCAAACGGTGAAGTAAGGTCAAACTTAGGAAAGACCTGAGTCCAAATTATCAATAAAACTATTTTCACATGAATTCTGTCTTTTGAAGTTTGATACCCAAGAAGATGAGAAATTGCTTCAAGCAGCAGAAAAATATGAAGTTGAATGTACGTCAAAGTTTCCAAACCGTCAGTGCCTAACAACTGTAATTGACCTCAATGGGAAAACAGTTTTTATTACCAGATACATCAAGCCTCTCAATCCACCCCAAGAGCTCCTTGATGCCCTCCCAGATAGCTCTCAGACAACAGCAGTAAGTGTTTAAAAAAGATCGTGGCGTTTCTGGGTTATAGATTTCAGAGTGTGTTTGTGTGCACTCATACCAATGTTTTGTTTGCTGTACAGCTACACTTATGTTCATGGGAAAAACTAGAAATACAAAGGGATTATCTGTGTGTGATAAACAGGAAGCGTACCCATGATCATGCTTTCTTATTTTTTTTAATAAATATATGAATGATTATTGTCTCTTAAACAAATTTGTGGCAAGTCTCAGTGGGAGTAAATTGCAGTTTTTAATTGTGATCTAGGAAATGCTAAATTCTGAAACAAGTTATCTGATAATATAACAAGGTCAGTCAGTGCTTTATCTTTGGTGTCTGGGGAAACAGCACTGTGCTTCAAGTCTTATAAGCCTTTTATATGTGTCGGTGTAGTGAGCTGGAACTTCGTTCTGGTTGGGTTTTTTTGTTTTTTTGTTTGTTTGTTTTTTTCAGGAATTGGTGGCTCGATACGTTGCTTTGATTCCCTTTTTGCCAGACAGTGTTTCATTTGCTGGAATTTGTGACCTGTGGTGTACATCAGATGTAAGTAATGCATTAAACAGTTTTTATCCTCATGAATGTGATATGACATGCAAGTGGGTCCCTCTTTTGGAACAGGTTAGCCTAGATCAACTCTGGAGGTCCCTTCAGACCTACCCTGTTCTGGAATTCTATGATTGTAAGGGGTGATTTTTCTTTCTGAGTTGTTTAAAGCAGAATATCTGAGGACCAGTGTTTGAGCAAAGTTGCTTGTCCTATTTGCAATCTTATCTTTCCAATCTAATGAATGACCATAAGAAAACTTCAGAGTTTTAAGCTTTTCCTGTTTTTCTCCCTTATAAAACAACCCAGAATAGCTAGTTGGGCACAAGGGAAAGGATGCTGACTCATGGAGACTTTAAAACTACACTTGAAACGGATCATTGTAATGTTAAGGAACCACAGAGAAAACATGGTATTGTGCTTAGAAATAAATAAATAAAAATGTAATTGTTGGCAGTAATGAAAATGTCAGTGTGTTGCCACTGTTTTCATTAAAAATCTCGAATGCAGCACCATACCAGCTGCTATGAAGAAAATAAGCTCTATCCCAGCTGAAACCAGGACAGTGAGAAATGCAGAATAACCCAGAAGACCTCAGTCCTTGTAATATCTCAGATCTGCATCATGGATTTTCACAGCATTTACACTTGCTCTGTGTATTCTGCATGTTGAAACAGTGCCTAACAAAAACTATGATCAGTTGCAAACATTCAAGAGGAGTTTTTAGCTTCAGAAGTGTTAGGAAATATTAGTAAATGTTATAAGCCAAAAGCACCAATTATAACTACATAGAAACCTTTTTTTTCCCCCCTCAATTAGCAATTTCTTGATCTTCTGGCGGGGGATGAGGAAGAACATGCCGTGCTCTTGTGTAATTATTTTCTTGGTATGGGGAAGAAAGCCTGGCTTGTCATTGGAAATGCTATTCCTGAGGTAAGAGGATTTTTTCATTTGGTCAGAATATTAATTTTCATTCTCTGAAGTCTTTGGTGCCCATCAGTTGATAGAATTGTCTCCTGCTGACACACTGTTTTCCAGGCAGTAATCTAACACTGGTGCTGCTCGACTGAGAGAGAGAAAGAGAGAGAGAGAAGCAGCTTCTCTGAGTAGAAATACAATCTGTGGTGGTTGTTTTCTCTGCACCCATTGTTTTCATGCTCAGCCTGGTGGCAGCTGCTGTCCTTGTGGTGCAGTACAGTCTGTAAACCTTGGCTGGATTTGGGCACATATGAATGCTGGAAAAATGTCCTGAGTCCATTCACAGCCAGTAGCAGAGTTAGGGTGGGACTGGTATGGGCTGAGAGGTGGCAGGGATGGAGTGGGGATCACCAAGGATTCCTACTACTTCCAGAGTACCTGGAGAATGTGGGATAGTGAGTGAAAAAGCAGTTTAGGGGTTCCTGATCTTTCTTTCTCTATTCCCTCTGTGTCTTAATAAGGAAGGTTGGTGGGTTAGGTGTGAACTGTGCTGCCTAAGAGCAGTCCTTAAGTCAGAGGTTGCCTGGGTTTGTGTTGTGGTACCAGCCAAGGAGGACATGCTGATGCTGAAGTGGCACACATTAAATGTGCCTGGGTATAGAATTTCCCATTGGCTCTAAGCTGAACTACATATTTTCAGAATTTGCATTTTTCAAATGGCTGAAGGTGGTGCATGTTAACATTTAATTGCCACAGAAGAGACAGAGGACACATTATTCTGTAGGTGATACGTGAATTGTAACAAACCTGTGCATTCTTTCAGGATTTTGCCAAAAACATACTATTATCTCAGTAGTAAAAACATAGTATGCTGTGCATTGTGTGGAATATTGTCATTAAAGACAGTTCTAAAGCATCCATCTTGTATTTTTTCCTTTCTAGGGACAAACCACGTACGTATTAACTTTGGAACAAAGTCAGTACGTGATTTGGAATCCCAGCACTGGCTGCTTTTACAGGCACTATGATACTTTCTGCCCCTTGCAAAGCGTGTACTGTCTGATCAGCTGCGATAACGTAAGTGAGCTCTGTGTCTCCCCCACAGCTGCATGCCGTACAGTTGGGCACGAGACATTTTTCTTGACTTTCTGTATCGTGTGTTTGTCAGCTTAATGTTAGAACAGCATCCGTGTAATTAGTGACACTGCAAAATCTGAAACTGAGGAAACAATGGCAGCTTAGAGAAGAATCCCTGAGTTTTATTCAGATGGAAACTAAGAGGAGTTTAGAAGTCTGGTCATCAGGTTTTTTTTGATCCACTGTAAGGAAACAGTGAGTCAGGCTTCCACTGCACACCCAGATGCAGCTAACACTTAACTATTTTCTGTTTTGAATACAGACAGGGTAGAAGTTCTCTGAAATATCATGTGTTCTCAGTGGTTAGTTGTTTAATTATTTCCTCGGGGTTTAATCCTCAACACAAATAATGAATTTGGAAAGAATATTCTAAAGGATGTTTATTTTAAAGGCATCCATCGCTTATTGAAAGTGTTCTGGGTACCAGTTGGTTTGGTTTGTTCTGATGCAACACCTGCAGAGTTAGTGAAGAAAAACTTAGCTGTTTCTTCCATACCTATGGAAGTTAAAAACTTCAGTGCCAACATCCTCATCACTGAACCTTGAACTACAGCACACAACACAAAGTTTCAGGGCAGGCAGTTCCAGTCCACAGCAAATTGTGGTTGAGCAGGTGCCCTGCCAGCAGCATATAACCAACTGCGAGCCCAGCCCCAGGGCTTGGGAAGCGATGTGGCATCACACAGGTTGTAAGGAGAACTATTAAATGCAAAAGGTTCCAAAAACAATTAATATTAATTATTAGAGCACCTTGCATCCTAGCAGTAGTTTGTGAAAAGCCTGTAGGTACCTGCAGGCACACAATGTTACAGATCAGCACCACCCCCCTCTTGGTGTGAGAATGCAGAAGTTGGACAGCTTGGCTGTGACAAACACAACTGCCCTGTTTCACACGAATACAGGATGGTGATTAGTTTGGGAGTTCAAGATTACAGAGTAGTTTATTGCCATGTAAGTAATGTGTTCCATAGCTGTGACTGTATACTAAAAACAAACCTGCTTTCTTCTAGATTTGGTTTAATATCCAACAGTGGGACTCTCCAGTAAGGATAAGTTTTGATATCAGCAAACCAAAACTTTGGAAGCCTTTCTTTTCAAGAAGCTTACCATACCCTGGGCTCTGCAGTGTTCAGGTACTAATACACTTATAACCAACTTAATGGGAGGACAGACTAAATTATTTTGGCTGCTGTGATTAAACGTCCTTCTGTCCTAAAACTAGCTTTTAAAAAGACTTTTCCATGCCTTTAAAATTCAAAAGTAGGAATACTGAACATTTTTTTATACAAAATGAATGCACAGCTGTTATCTTATAAATACCTGTGTAAGAGCTTAGGACAATGCTAAACACTGGGACAAATCTTTAACATAACCCTAAAGAAAGCTGTGTCTGTGTCCTTAGTAAACAAGCAGGAATTCCTCTACAATTAATGGAATTTGTAAGCAGTAGTTGAAGCTTACTCCTGGAAAAAATGAAAACATTACACAAATATCCAGCCAATGTTTTTATTATGCCTTTGCTACAGTATAGATCATTTTGGTATAATTGTCAACTGTTCATTAACTGTCAAGATAGTAATGCCTGAACTAAGTTACAGAGTTGTATAGTTAGAGATCGTGCTTTTAATATCAGGGTGTTTTACTTTGCTAGCCTGAAGAATTGGTGTATCAGCATTCAGACAAGGCTGCTGCAGTGGAACTACAGGGCAGGTAATCCTTCCACTAAAACAACTGCTGTCAGAAGGGAAAGAGTGATCACCAAGTGAAGCACCTTCTTACCTTTCTCAAGCACATTCATCCCAACGTGCTAAAAATGAGCTTCGAATGCTGTCTAGGAATTGAGAATGACTTAAACTGTATTTTTAAGGGTCTTTTTAAGTTCTCTTCTTTTAACAGAGTTCATCAGGAAGAACTGATTGAGTACTGCTATAGTTTCCTAATAAGCTAAAATTGCGGAGGAGTTTAAGAGGCTGTGAGAGCATAGACTAAAAATGTGTGCAGGCCCCTGCTCTCCCTTTGCTGTTAAGCATGGGGACACAATTTAGCTACAGTGGCTATGTGCTATTTTCTTTTTGTAGTTCTAGGCAGTTTTAAGTTTAACTAAGGTAATTTGTGTTGCTCAAACTGTAAAAAGTGGGTCAAGTGAGATCAGGTCAGAATTTGAGTAAAGAATATAGTTGCAATAAGAAGTGTATTTTATTGTAGGATTGAAAAAATACTAAAAGAGAAGATTATGGAATGGAGACCAAGGCATTTAACTCGCTGGAACAGATACTGTACCTCCACCCTACGTAACTTCCTGCCTCTGCTGGAACAAAACCAAGGCAAAGATGTAGAAGATGACCATCAGGCAGAGCTGCAAAAGCAGCTTGGAGATTACAGGGTACAGTTGTGCATATAAATAATTTGTATTGTATGTGTCAGTATTATGGAAATAGCAGACCTGAAGGATCACCCAACCTGGGGTAAGGAGCTGTGTCCTAGGCTATTTGTTCCCTCTTCTACTGAAAGCCACAAGTTGTTATACTAAAAATAAATCAATACGTTTACAAAATGAAGTAGTGGTGGTTTGCTCCATGTGAAAATATAAGAGATGGGTATGAAATACAGGTATACTTGCCTGGAATGGAGGTAGTGACTGCTGTGGTACAGCAGCAGAACAGTACAGTCTGCTTATTATATTCAACAAAGTTTCTGACAGTTGTAGCACTATAGATACTTACAGGTTGATTGATACAACTAAGCTCAAGTCTTGCTGGTAAAAAGCTGGCACTGTAAACTTCAGGCACAAAAGTCCATTCAACAGTGTGTTTTCCTGAAGTTTTCTGCTCTTTAAAAGACAGAATGTGCATAAGTATTCACTGTAGCCAATACACCATACCCATCCCTCAAGGCTGTTCTAAAAAATAAATCCTTCCTTCTGCTCCTTCACGTAAAGCAGACGTGACAGGGATACTGTATGGAAATGAAATTTTGAAAATGAGTTGAGGTTTCAGTTCCTGCCTGAAAATGTTTATGGACAGATGTCTGCCAGCTCCCATTTCCAGACAGCAGAGTACAGTGAAGAGTATTCTCCAGTTAAGAGGCAAGAAAGTAGCAACATTATGCTCTTTGTTCAGTAACTCTTTTTTTTTCTAGTTGATTTCTAAACAGTTTCACTTTAAACTTAACCTTTTTCAGCAGTTAGGAAAAATTGCAGAAACCTACCTAGAGTGTAAGAAATAGAAAGGGGGTATTTAAATTCAAAACTATCCTTTTATTGCATCTCCTCAGGCCAGCAGAGAGAATCTCCATTTTATTGTGCCTGTAAGTTGAAGATGTTGCATTTATTCAGATATCTTACCTTCTGTGATTCTTCTCCCTTCTCTCTTTCTTCCAGGTGTCTGGATTTCCTATTCATATGCCATTTTCTGAAGTCAGACCTTTAGTAGAAGCTGTACACAGTACTGGAGTTCACACCATTGATGTTTCCAATGTTGAATTTGCTCTAGCTGTGTACGTTCATCCTTATCCCCAAAATGTTCTCTCCACATGGATTTATGTTGCTTCACTGGTACGGAATCGGTAGTACAGAGCAGTCAGAACACCTCAACTCTGGATGGAGGGGGGAAATAACAGATTTCTCACACTGCTGATTTGAGCTATCCCAGGTAGCTTGAAAGTCTTGCAAGAACCCGATTTTTCAGAAGCTGCAAACGTTTAGCTTTGTTCAGCTTAAAACCACAGGATGTAACTTAACCTCAACCAACAGTTCTGGAATTTCAAGTAAGCTGTCCGTTTCCTCTTTATTTCTGTACATTACTTTATAACTCCCTGTGGGACTTGCCATGCTTAAAAGCATTAAAAAAATGCACATAGTTAGTGAACTCACTGGTAGAGTTTGTCCTCCTTATTTTGAGGTGAAACTTGGTTCCTGGAATTACACCTTATAGATGACTTCTAGTTCCTCAAATTGTCTTCACTGGCAGCCCTTCCTCCTGGTTAGAGAGGCTGCCATTCAGGACCAATATAAACTGTTGCACTTTCTAATTACCTGAGTTCCTGTACAAAAACCAGCCTCTATTTACTCCCAAGTCAATTTCATGCACCAAAAAAGCAAGCATTTAAGACCATACTTCCTTTTTTAAAAACATTTCTCCGTGTCTGTGTTACAGCAGCAGCATTCAGGTATTTTCTTAAAAGGTCTAATAATAAATATTTATACCAAAAAATAAATGTTAAAGCTCATCCATTTTATGTAAGAATTTGATTAAATCACTTACAGCACATAATCTTTTACTATGGTTACCTGCAGGTAATTTTTAAAGTGATCACTAAAAGATTATTATGTACAAGTAGTGGTGGTAACAGTTGATGCTTATATGTATCCTTTTCCTTCAGGTCCGTTGTTAATTAAATTCTTCCAAGTGAAAGCAAGGGTGAGTTCAGCCTAGGAAGTATATTCATCACAACGTATCAAAGTTAAGGTAGAGCTTAAGGCTAAAGAAGATTTGGTCCATCCATTAAATGCTGGACAAAACTTTTGGTTTAGAGTCTGGGATGGCCACAGGTTCCCCTCTAATCAACCAAAAAGCACCTCTACAGAACTGTCATGAAGCAGCCAGTATCTGCACTGTAATCACAATGCTCTGCTTGAACAACACTGATTGATTACATCTCTAAAGCCCACCAACTTTTCAGAAAAGGGTGAAAAAAGAGAACATGGTCTCACACCACTTTCTGCAGCTGATTCAGCCCTTTACCAGTCTGCACAGAAAACAGTAATTAGTATCTAGCAGTAAGGACAAGAACCACCCTGTCTGCTCCTTCCTTACCTCAGAACAGAGGCAAGGAAGCCCACACATCTCATTACTTCTCTCAGAGCCAGAACAAGTGGCCATTTACACCTAATCTAGGCTTTGGGGACATAGAGTTTAATGCAGTTTACTTAAAAGAACAGTTGCTGTGACAACAGTATCTTTTCATACCTCTCTGGTAGGCTTCCAGCTGAACTGCACATACTTCCTCTAGCTGGGTTCAGCCAACCACTAGCAGCTGTCTCTGGCACTAACTAAAATTCAATAGTGTTTCTTGTCAGTTTTGATGCAAAAAAGAAAATGATCTCAAACCTTGGAAGGGTTGGTAGGTGAGATGGTATCAGTACAACAAACTGCCACTTATCTCCAGCAGTGCCTGTAAGCTGACCTCCCACACTCAATCTACATAAACCACTGAACTGCTGTCTCTCCACACAATAAAAAGGGTAGAAATGACTGCTTTGGCATACTGTCAGCCTGCAAAACTAGCTTTCTGCAAGGCTGCATCTGCTGGCTACAGCCCCTGCATCTGCTTGAAAGAAAACTAACAACCTGAGCAGATGACTACGTAGGCCACAGTACTCACCCTCTCTTGGAACAGCCTCTTCTCCCCACACACAGACACATGCTGTCCTCATACATCACTCCTTGCTCTTTTTAGTACAGTTCTCTCAGAGCACAGGTCTCTCTCAGCCTACCAGTGGCTTCTCTGCATCCCTGCTGCTCCTCTCTGCTGTTCAATGAAGCGGTTATTTTAAATCAGAACAGTGGGGAAAACATCTTCCATAGATTCCTTATGAATGAAAAAACTGACTTCCATGGAAGTCACTGCAGGAAGGAATGTGTGTTTTTAAGGGTCACAGTTCTGCTACCACCATCCAGCCTTCACCAAACCCTTTCAGCTTACAAGTATTTATCTTACACCTTGATATCACACTTGAAAAGTATATATATTCCACTGCTACATCAAGTTTTTATTGGTGGGAATGTTTTATTTGAGTATGTCTTTCAAGCCCAAATACAAAACCAAATGCAAAAGAAAAGTGGGAATTACCCTAATTTTGCAATATAAAGGACAACTTCAAGATGAGAGGAAAGGGGGAGAAACAAGGCTCCTAAAGATGTATTACTGTTACCCAAATGCAAACAATACATTTCAAATTAGCCGCAGAGCTTTATATTGTACTGATGGATTAAAAATAAGAAACCATTCACTTAACACAAAATTATCCATTAAAGTATACTTAAGTGCCAAACTTGGAAGAAAGTGGCATTAAAAAAAAAAAATCCGCATGTTTTCCCATCTTCCCCAAGTAAAAGTAAGAGAAAACCCAACACCCTTCAAACCAAATGAGATCGTGAGATTGTTACAACACTGTACAGTACACTTAAGATTCTGAAGTTACAGGCAGGGTCAAGGCTAGTATAACAGATCTCACTCCAAGGATTGTTAACACAAGATGCAAACTGTAAGTAAAGTGCATGAAAGGAAGCCTGCTCAGCTAAATGAAGTAGACTGAAAGATCAGAAGTCAGCAGTCATTCGCCAGAGCGGCAGCAGGCCCGAAAACCACACTGCAAATTCTGGCATCCACTGGCGGTTTCAGCATGAGGACCTGCACAAAAACAGAACAAATGTGAAAAGAAGAAGATAGGCTTAGCAGCTATCTTCTGACCTTGTAACTCATAAAACATCCTTTGTTTGTTTGCTTAAACACAGAACTTCATCCAGCACTGGGAACACCTGGAACACCCCCGCTGCTATCACTGACCCCCCACTGAGGTGGGTTTTTTTAAATAGGTTTTTGTTTTTGTTTTACACTGACAGCTTAGTGCCATGAGTGGAACATTCAGTGACACAGGTGTGGGATGAGCAACCATCAATCTGCAAACTTCAGAAAGCTCCTACAGCTGCCTTTTAAAATCAAAGTATGTTTTCATAAGGCGTATTTAACTCCTGCTTTTTTTTTTTTTTTTTCCAAATTCAGAAGATGCCATCATGGCATTACAGAAAACAACCCATCATATGGAAACAGCTCTCAGTCTGGAGTGTTTCTCCGTGAGCACAACATAGTTGGCTACAGCTCCTGTACTCTGACTGGAAATCCAAAGACTAAAAGGAAAAATCTGCAGTGACTGTAAAGGTGCTTTATCAGAAACCGTAAAAGCTAAAACGGTTCCTCAGAAAGGAAGTTGTGAGCACAGACAGCATAAACCAATACTGTAATACTACCCACCTCCACTTACCTTCACTTATTGTTCTCCCTTTAATTTGAAGTGTTAAAAGTGATCATGAGAAACTACAAAATGTATTAGTATAGGATTTAATTTCCTGCAGCCATATGCCTGCTTCAAAAACACAAACATTGGCATGTGGGTTGGCTGAACTCTGGCACCCAACGTAACTCAGCAGCACACTTTAATTAACTAAACCAAACTCATGAAGAACTAACCAGGACAATCCATTTCCCCCCCTCCATACGTGAAACAAATCATATCCTTTTGAAATATGTTTCTAATACATTTAGGAGTAACAAAATGATGTAATGAATAAGGGCACCATGCTACACCTCGCTTGTTTTCCCCCTTGAACAGTAACTTGAAGTCATAATTAATCCCCCAGAACACAGTGTCTTCAAATCAGTTTTCTGCTTCACGCCACACGTCGAGGAGCAACATTCTACAAAATAACTAAGTTAGCATGCATGAGACTGAATAAAATAAACCTGAAGCTACAATCAAGGACAATGGTTACAAATTAGGAAAACAGCAATACTTTAATTTGTAGGTGAACTTGTTTTCTATTCTTTCTGTTCACCTGAGCTACGCTTTGATCTTTTGCATTGTTTACAAGCTAGAGTTTGAAAGCTTCTTTCAAAGTTCTTTAAGAAGGAGACTTGGCACTTCAAATAGTTTTAGCAGAGCATGTTCTGTGCAGCACTTTCCAACTCAGCGCTGACCTTCCCCATCACTGCCACAGCTAAGCAGCACATCACAGTAATCTGGAGCAACCACCACACTTCAGTGATAATACTTGTGACAAAACTAGCAGAGCCACAACATCCCAAAGGAGGGAATACTCACTATGCTCTGCACCACGAAGTGCTTAAGTAAAATGAGGTCTGGGGTCATTCACCTGGAGAAGCAGAGTTAATCAGATTCTCATCTAACCTGCCACTGTCTACACTACTGGTTTAGCTGCCTCTAACCTGGATTACTGTAATGCTCTTTAAACGTACATCGGATTACTTCAGGTGACCCAGAACAAAGGTTTACCCCTTCCTCCTGAACAGCCTTCAGTGTTTTCAAAACCTGGTAATATAAATATGCCTGGCAAACAAGGAAAAATAGCTACCTGATTACTTGATTTTGATTACTGTTAGTAAGGCATATGAAGTTTCCTAGGAGTAAGTAGAGTATTTCACACAAAATGCACTCCAACCCGAACCAGGGTGGAAGAGTCACTCGTGCAAGGCACACCTGGCTGCTGCCACCACATCCCTTTAGCTCTCACCTTTGGCAGCAGCAATACTTGCTGTCTACAGCAGGACTGATCCCCAACCCATCTGAGATGTAAAAAGGCCACCTGCTACCCCAGTTCTTCATTTTGTTTACCAAGGAGCTACATAAACACTAACACTGACAGCAGGAAGGCAGCAAAACAGAGCTGTCAGAAACACACAAGGAGGGAAGGAAAGACACCTCATTTCCACAGCCACCACTGCAAAGAAGCAGCCCAGAGCAGGGGGAAAAGTTGCACATGTTTAGAACTGCAGCTTAGTGAGAGGCTCCTTTATTCTCAACAGTAGATACCACGTTGGGTGGTAGTGGAGCACATTACACAGGAATTACAAGAAAGTGATCAAATCAAACATTGATCTTGAAAACGTAAATGGAGATTTAGAATTAATATTGGCCTTAAGTGCACTCTTTGTCAGCCTCTGGTGAAGTTACACATCAGAACATTATCAGAGCGCCTTTGTTATTTGGAGAATTTATGGAGAGATCAAACTCCTACAAGTCTAATATCAATGCACCCCATATAAATCTGCACACAGGAGTCCATAAATCTGAA